AAACATAGTCATGGCAATAGTGCCACTATTTGGAGAACCAAAACTCAGGTGAGAGAAATGTCCGACAATAACGTTCTCACTCTCTGTATGAATGAAACACTTAGCCGTCGAATATAGTTTATCTCGCACAGCACTTCAATCTTTGATGATGAATATGAACCTAACCGTATCACTGAGTTTAATTTACTGTTTTCATTCGATCGTATATCTGAAATCCATAACGAATCCGATCTTACATCATGGAAATGGGAAATCCTCAGTTATACTCTATATGGCAGCCATCAGCTAAAGTTCTGTGCATCCTGTATCGTAGCGAGGATAAAATTTAGTTTTCCGAAAAACGCTGTAACGCATCGAATCGATCTTCCACCTCACCCTACTATTGATTCTCGATGTTTTCTCCACCTTTGACTTGCGACAGACGGACATACAAACGAGTTCCAGTTTTTCACTCCTGTTTTCTGCCACAAAACCCTCCTTATAGTGGAGGGGGAAATAAACAAAAAGTGTTGTTAGTAATAATAAATCGATAAAATGATTAATAAGGAGAAAAGGAATGTAAATATATTAAAGTTCAATAATTAAGGGCTGGTAAATACGCATGTATTTAAGACAACTTTCACGATATTTTGATCTTTGAAATTAATAATAAAATCCGTTCGACCATCATCATTTAAATCTGCGGTCTGGCATTGTATCGCTCCCGTTATACCGAAATTAAACGTTGATGGCGTACCGAAATTTCCGTTGCCATCTCCTTTTAGCCATCGTAGGTTTGTATCTTGATTATCAACAACAACAAGGTCTAATAGACCATCGTTATCCACGTCAGTTGCAACAACGTCAACTGGATAAGCACTTAACGGAATAGTCGTTGTTGTAGAGAAAGTTCCAGTACTAGTTCCTGTGGAAATAATCAAATTTTTACTACTTCCACTTACAACTGCTAGATCTAATATGCCATCACGATTAAAATCGTCGGTAATGATTTTTTCTGCATTATTACCCGCTGTTGCTGTTGTTAGAGAGCTGAAAAGTCCATTACCATTTCCTTGCAGTACATTTACAGTAGTGCTTTGAAGATTGCAAACAGCGATATCAGGTTTGCCATCACGGTTATAATCTCCAATAGCGATTGATTGTGGATTATAATCCACAGCAGATATTGTTTGAGATGTATAAGTCCCTGCACCATTTCCAAGTACCGTCCACACATTACTGTCGCTAGAACTGGCAACAACAATATCTAATGCGCCATCCATATTAAAGTCAGCGACACCTATTGGCTCTGGTTTGGCACCAGTTGAAACTGTTGTTTTCGTAGGAAAGCTTCCGTCACCACTGCCTTTAAATATATCCAGCGAAGAACCTTCATAATTGTCGACAACAAGATCGACTATATCATCTTTGTCAAAATCAGCAGCTATGATATTCTGTGGATTATTGCCACTGCTTGCCACTGTTGTCTTTACGGTGAAAACTCCATTGCCATTTCCAGTTAGGATAGTGATTTGGTCTTGATTGTAGTTACTTACAGCGAGATCGAGTTTGCCATCGCGATCAAAATCTTCAATAGCGAGTCCTCCTGGCGAATCTATTGTAATATTGATCACTGTGAATTTTACTTGGCAAGATGGTGCTAAGACAAACAAAGTATATAGTGAACACTCATGTAACTTTCAATTTTATATATACGATATTCATGTAAAAACTTTTGAACATAATAAGTAATCCTGCAAACACATGTCTTTCCTAGTTTTAAATCAACTAAATGTATAACTGCTGATGCAAAAATTTCGAGAAAGGTGTTACTTCATTCCTTCTTGAGATATATTCAAGTGGGAAAAAGCGAGACTTCATCTACTTCAGATAGTATCTGTAGTAAAGTGAACTATTGCTGAAGTACCAGTGAAATATCGATGAAGTACGAGTGAAGTACCAGTGAAGTAATTGAAGTATGAAGTCTCGCTTTTTCCCCCTTGGATATATTACGCTTTAGATAAATGAAAAACATCTATAAAAATCGGCATTGAAAATTGTTTTTCACCCTATCTTCAAAAATTTCAGCTTAAGCTTTTTAAATACTGAGCAAATCTCGAGAAAGTAGTAAACTATATTCTGTAAAAGTTTATCGAAATTATTGTCAAGAAAGTTTTATCATTCTACCGTGCTCATTCTGTTAGGCCGAGCGAATATCTTTTCCATTCAGCTCTACCGTCAAATGTTAATAGTCTTGGTCAGAATTTATTAGATGATCACCTCAGATACTGGTGGAAAGATCTAACTGAAAATTTCTAGTAATTCACCGGATTAACATTTGTTCAATGTACGTGCTCGTCCGCATTACATAATATTTGCAGTTTCTTAAGACATTATCGGAACAGCTGCATCAGATTTTTAACATTGTTTGATTTCCAAAGTAAAACAAAAAGTGAAAGCTTTAATTCTTCATTCTTACTTAGTAACAAACTTATAGGGCAATTTTCAACTAGCATAATGAAAACGTCGCGAAGGATGATCCTTGGCTTTTCATAATATTTGGACTCAATGTTAAATCTTCAACAGAATTATTTTCGTATAAAATCCATAATAATGCGTGAAGGGCACGCAACCCAAGGGATATCGACTCAAATTCGTTAGATATAAACCTATTAACAACACCATGTTTTTTCTGACTGAGACAATATATGATTGTACACCACTTCTTCTCTCCTTTCGTTTTCTTTCTTTCTCGTCCTCTTCTCCATCTTCCTTCTCTCATATATAGGAAAGTAGATATTAGATGTAACTTTAGAGAGTTTGGCATTTTCCTGTAGCGTGACACTGTATTTCCCTAGGACTATATAAAGATGAGGAAAGTACACTACAGGTATTACTTCCTTAGGCCACCTAAAAAATACATCTATCACATCTCACAGTTCACACCAGGATTTGTCACAACACTATCAACTTTTGCTATGAATTGAGGACTATGTTTCCTTCCGTTTCACAACTCAGATAAAATCAAAACACTTACAGCTGCTCCGCTACGTTTTCTAATAACTCTGTCCTGAGACTGTATCTCTTCATAATTATATATCACCCGATAAAAACTCACAATGCAAAACATTTGTACAGACTCTAAACGCAACAAAACAAAACAGGTATCTCGTCTCGGCCGTTAGCGAAATTTCCAAAAGTGAACGAATTCATCTCACTTACTGCCACAAATATTATTGACACATAAAAGATTATTCGAGCCACTGTTACAATCCGCCGTGACTTTACACGATTGACCCGTACCACAAAATTTTCCGCTTGTTCCACCACAATCCACATCGGTTTCGTCTCCATTCTTCACACCGTCACCGTTTGTAGCAGCTAAAAAGATCAACTAAGAAAAGTCTGTTCGTTTTGCACAGAACGATCATACCGAGACATTTGCCACTAGGACACACTCCACTAGTACAGTCTGTTCCAATCTTGCAGTCCAAACCATCGGCACATTTTCCACATGTTGATCCTCCACAGTCTGTGTCTGTCTCGGCTCCATTTTTCAAGTCATCGTGACACGTTGCAGCTGTATGAAAGAAACATAAGACACAGTACGTGAAATAGGTTCGACTGTTCACATGATACATACTTTGACAAACGCTATTTGTGCATAACACATTGTTACAATCGGCTGTCAAAGTACACGGAGCAGCCTCTGGACACGCTGCACAGAAATTTCCACCACAGTCTTTACCAGTTTCATCTCGATTAACAATCCCATCAGAACAGGTTGGTACTAAATAACGAGGAAAAGCTTTAAGTCAGTAGCTATTACTTTCCTAGTTTTACCTTGACAAATGTTATTTGTGCACTTTTTGCTCGAGCAATCTGTTTTTGTCAAACAGTGCATATTATCGGCACATTGTTTACATGTTGAGCCACCACAGTCCACATCGGTTTCCATACCATTCTTGATACCATCGCAACATGTTGAATCTGGAATATTATCTGAAAATACATTATCCATTTCGAGGTTGCTTAGAATTATTGCTATTACTTTTGCATGTACCGTCAACACACAATCCAGAGCCACAGTCCGAAGTTGCTTTACAGTTTTGCCCAGCAGAACACTTGGAACAAAGCGCACCTCCACAATCAATACCAGTTTCATCTCCATTGAGTATAAAATCGTTACACAGTGGTGCTAAAATAAGCGTTAATATCTTTCTTTATGGCGATGGGTAGTGTTAAGTTTTGGTCAGAAAGGAATTTTTGTATGACACGAGGCTTTTACCTATATCTCCTGTAGAGTACGGTAAAATTAGTTTCCATAGAAATATACGGATTATATTACAGATGTACAATAAAATATTTAATTAGTTTTACATTTAACAGGTCTAGAGATAATGTAAATCTAGAAGGTGATTTGAAACTAACCTTGGCATTTCTTATTGGTACATACAGATGACTCACAATCGGAGCTCATCGTGCAATTTACATTTGTCGCACATTTGTTTTGACATATTTTTCCTCCACAATCAATGCCTGATTCATCCTGATTACGAATGCCATCGCTGCATGTAGGAACTAATCAAAGAAAAACAGTAGTATGTAGTTTCAAATAAAATGCATCTTGTATGCCGCCAAATTTCTTCGTATTTACCTTGGCATATACCACAAGTACAAGCTACTTTGGTACAATCAGATATTTTTTGACATTTTTTACTGGTGGGACATCGCAGTGGACAAATCAATCCTCCACAATCTATATCAGTTTCATCTTGATTTTGAATTCCATCGAAGCAAGTTGCTGGTGCTATATTTAATGAATACAAAATAAAGATTACTTTGAAAGGAAAATGAAAATGAAACTACTATGGAACATATAATAATATACATTTCATTATATACTTACATATTATATTGACACGCCACCTTATATTTTGCTTTTCTGTTTATACTATGATATAGTAATGTTCAGATTTACTGGTAAAAAAAATAACATAACGATGTATATGTAGCTTCACATCGTATTATACAGAATAATCACTCAATAAAGAGATATTTCTGAAAGANTCATTTGCCACAATCACTTTGAGGACAAATTTTCAACAAGTGCAAAAGTACCTGTTATTAGACTTCAGACACTACGATGAATATTGTGGATAATTCATTTTAGTAAATATTCTTCTGTTTTCAATAACATTTCTCTCAGTGAAATAATATACTACACTGTATCTATCAGCATTGTGACAATATCACTACTAAATGTATGGCCATTTTTATGTCTCAAACTTAAAAGAAGGAATAGTAAAATAATATTTTGTACAGCTGTTGGAGAATAGTGTGCTAGGAGGCTCGACTGTGTTCAGCTTACGTGAAATCAGTTTATAGAACCAAATGCCTAATCAAGCTCCTATTTAGAAATTTTGATTTAGTGATTGATTTTTTCGCGATGCTTTTGTTGTGGATGCAGAGAGTTTCATATAATGACTTTTTCTGTCACCTTTTCTATTGAGTGCACACCTTAAAAATTAAATCACAGATTTTAGCTTGGCTTGAAACCAGGAATATTAATACTTTTCTTAAACAAGCATATCGTTCCTGAAGCATAAGAGATGATTTCATATTAGCTTTTTCACATTTTCAAAAACATATCGAGCTTATTGTATACATTGGATTTTTAGTGTATGTATATGTAAAAAGTATTGTATATTTCTTGTTGTTTAGAACCAAATCTAATATCGTGCCTGCAACGAAATGTTTCTTCGTTTATCTCTTTGTATTCAACTATGCTAGAAAGATGTTAGTAAACAATTAGCATAAAATATAAGGTGACGAGTTCAATGAAGTTTATTTAGATCAAAGCAAAAGACACAAACAGTAAATCATTGAGTAATACACATAAATGGTAGAAAAATCTAAATATAATGAGAATGAGCTGAACAGAAGTATCTTGGTTCTCGTGTTGATAATCGCGATGAGAGTCTATGAAATTGTCCTTAAAAGACGTTCCCTAAAAAAAACGAAGAGTATGAAAACACGTAGGTAAACAGATTTGAAATTTGACCGCATAGAAACTTAGGCTTCACTGCTCCAGAAATGAATTCAAAATATTACTGCTAAAAAACTTACTTATCGATGTGAAGCTAGTACCATGAAACTAGTGCATTCAAATCAGAATTTTATTTTTGAGTCGAATCATGATATTGTTATTCACGGAAAAACGAATGGAAAATTTTCCTGAGAATTTTTCTTTTATATATTTACGTATAGAATAAAAAATAAAAATCGACGTAAGTTCTGTCCTGAACGTTTTTCCGTGAATAAAAGCGGCACCGTCCGATACAGAATCAAATTCTGCGTCGAGCAGACTGTTTTGTATGGACATAAAGTCATTTAGCGCAGAGAAGTTGCGTGCCGACTGTGATATAACGACGCATATACATGTATAAATGACAAATAAAGATCAAATAAAACCTTTTGCCTGTCGTTTTCCCATAAATAAAAATATCACGGTTCGACTCAAAAATTAACTTCTGCATGGAATGCACTAGTCTTTGTGGATGGGAATTCATTTTCACAAATTTCTTAGTTTCGTGGTTCTAGCCACACACCGATCAAATTTAATACTTTAAAATTCTTTTCATAAGATAATCGATTCAATTGCTCATTGTAAGATTCAGTATTATTCATTAATTCTTGTACAGTTCGAAATTTTCGTATTGTTTTCAAAAAAAAGCATTGAAACACATTGCAGTAGATCCAGAGCGATTCAGTTGAACATAGCTGTGCTTAAGAAAGAAAATTATCTCTTGAATTATAATGATAGATTCTTTTGTTAATTATCCACGAACTTTAAACCAGGACTTTACTTAATATTTACTGTATATGGTAATTTTGATAAATACGAAGCTATCTTTTTTCCGTGACTGTCAGTAATGATTAGAAATTTCATTGTTGATTCGCAGAAAACAAATCGTTTTTCTTCTACCTATCTACAGAGTATGCAACTACAGTGAATGATGGTAAAACTACGCGCACCAGTATATGTACAAAATTTTTTTTTTCAGTATAAATTACACACAAAAGAATGATGAACGTGAATGATTGAAAAATAAATTCTTTTTCTATTCAAACATAACTTTCACTAGAAAGGAAAGTAATGAAAGAAACTAAAAATCAATCACTCATGAATATCTGTTGTCACCTATTTGACGCATCAGCTATCAGCTAAGTACGTCATTTGAGTGATAAGGCATTAGTCCGCAACGTACGATTTGAATCACTTCGAGAGAAGTATCGTTTTTGCTCCTATCTAATTGATAGTAAAAGAGCTTAATCTAATTCACTAATATTTCATTTTCTTTCTAATTTACCAGTTTCTTTCAGTATCTATTTGGTTTTGAAATTTCCATATGGAATGATCAAAAGATATCCTTTTACCAAGCAGTGTAATCAAACAAATCAGTGAAGAAACAACTGTAATAGATCTCTTTCATTTTACACTTGCAACGCATTATTATATTGATATAACTGATTACCGTTTGATAAAATTGCTTCACAGTCGACCAAATCTCTCTTTGATGAGCGAAGTCTATTCCCTCATTCGTATGTTTAAATCGCTTTACTTCATATTTGATGATAAAATTTGTGGTTTTTTATCAACGAATAAATGGAATACTTTTTTATATGAACCCTTCAAAATAGATATGATCGAAAAATCATTGAAATACTGTTTCACAAGCGTATTTTGCTTGTACTCACGTTTATGGTCATTTATACTATTTTCCTATTCACTAACATATTTAACTCTTGAAATCTTCAATTATGCTCAGTTGATCAACGTACTTTATTCTCACTATGAGGTGATAATTAAATATCACCAAAACTTGTTCTAAATTTCGAACAGTTTCGAGAAAACTGTAAATGTTTTTTTTTCTTTGGTGGGTAAATATGTTAGAGATATGTATAGACACACATTTGTAATAGGCGCCTCTTCTTCACCTACTTTTCTATATCGTTTTTCCAATAAAGAGATTAAAATTCGTCTCTCAGGTGAAGACTTTACTAATAGTTATATCACTCGATTGCATAATTATATGGGAGAGCATGCAACGAAGAAACAGAAACGCAAAAAGATTGATGTATCAAAGGTTTGATTTGTGCATGTTTTCGTTGTTCTTTCTCCTTTCGTCGATATATTTTCTTTAAAATGTTTTTTTTTTCATCCATTAGTGTGTGACAAGAATGTTGAAATGCATGAATCATTAATAAATGCTCATTGACATACTGTCCAATAAGCGATTACCGTTAGTGTGTAAATATCATGCGCAATATTATTTTCACTTGCTACATACTCGTTCTTTCATTTTACACTCTAAAGACCAAACGAAAATGTCAGTTTCGATTATTTATTCTCTCTTATTCTCTTCTCTATTCAAGCAGAACAGCAGTAAATTATGAATAAGCAATTACATATATTTAACTGTTAACTGAAGAGCATAGTAATATTGCCACATCATTACTCTATTTTGCTGATGTTACACTTTTGATTGACATAAACTATAGCTTTCGATGTGCACACAAGTCTTCGTTAATTTTTATCCTATGGTAACTATGAATATAGTTTTCTTTAACACATTCTCAATTATGTTTCTTGCAAGATTTCAAAACTCAGATATACAATGAGATAGCAGTAGAATATAAAGTGATAGAAATTTTATTTATGCTTATCGATAATGTATATTATTTGATGACTTAGTTTCTTCCAGTATTGATGTAAAAATTATTGAGCTAATAATATTATTTATCAGTCTGTCTATACAGCCATTGACACGATCTACTCCATCAAGGACACGTTTTCGAAAGGATTATTCTGGAAATTTCAATTGAAGACGTTTCGAATATAGTAATCATTTAGTTTTGTGTATAACGATTTTTTGGAAAGCAATATTGCTCGTTGTTCTCTCGATTAAAAGGAGGGTTATACGAGGAACATAGTTCGTATGTATACTTGTGTGAAGTTCAAAAAGGAGTGGGTAACATCGATCAGTGAGATTTTCCCTTTTCTAAGTTGACAAATTAAATCTTATCGAGTCTGAAAATGATCTTTTCGTAAAAAGGTACGGAAGGCTTTGCAATAGCTTGAGGGTAATATCTTTTCTTATAAAAAGTTAAACGATATAAGTCGACTTGAGATTTATTAATTATCTTACCTTATTTAACAATATGCATCATTCCGTTAGACAATGGCAGACATGTTTAAAAGTGACGAAGCGATGATAGTTATTCGCAACGAATTAGTGTCCCGCTGTTTTGTAAGACTGTGGACGCATGAAATAGCATTATGCGAATGGCGATGTCACTTTGGAGAATTTCCGAGTACAAATGGTAGTACGAATTGTTTATCTTTTATATAGTTTTTTTTTCATTCGAATAGTTCTCTGACGATTAGATGAAATCGATAGACTAATACAGTTGTTATTTCGTGCGACTTTGTATCAATGTTGAGCTACCTTGAGATTAATGGAACTGTTAAGATCTTGAAAAGTTATTTGTCTTTCTATCACAGAAGGAACCACCCTGTTTCGCAGAGAATCAAAAGACAAGTCGTTAAAAAGGAAATTAAGAACAAACGAAAAATATACACGAAACACAGAGGCTGCTATTTATCGTGTGTCATCGAATTTTTACAAGTAGCTTGTCTGAGCGTTAGTACTAAATTAAGAGACAAGCATAAGCCATGTCCACATGAAAATTTCTATGGGCCTAGAATAAATACTCTATTTAACTGAATATTTTTCCTGAATTTTTGCCACTTCTGAAGAGTATATATTTTCAACCAACTTGTCATTTTCTCTGAAATCACTTGTTCGATGATATTCAGTGCTTTATGTTAAAATAAAGTCCAATTTTTTCGGTTTTCGAATGTTAATAATAAGTTAAGATTAGAAAGATGTTTTATAATTAATAAAAAATAATAATATAACCCTTTTCATAGCACACATATTTTAAAATCTCTTCAATACCGAATTGTCAATAGTTTACATGAATGACAAAGATGAATCAAAAGCTTATTCATTCTTACAAAATCATAGAATAAAAATTATGTTTTCTTGAAATGGCTTATCTCGTGATTGGTATATTTGAAGTGCTTCACTAACATGTTCGTTTTATTATTTACATCATATTTCGAAATGCTTAATCAGCAATCTACAGACAATGAGATGACAGTGTTGAAAAATACATCCATCGGTGTGAAAATGTGCCTCTAATAACCAGAATGATTAATTTTTGTTTTTAAAAGAGACTTAACGAGCATTAAATCATTTTCTTCGGAGTGTCAAAATAGATCGAAACAATTCGAGGAAAAAATCGTTTGTGCAAAGCTTTATACTATTTGTTACGGTTTTTTTCATTGTAGAAGTAATTAGAAAGAATAATAGTTATTATGGCAGATTCTCGATTTTCAATGCCAAATCATTGGTCGCAAAATGCTGTACAGTGTTGGGAGGTAGTTTGGGGGTCATCTCCTCAACTCTTGCCAATACAAGTGCGTTATATTCCTTGCATGGGAAATTCGACCGTGACAGAAACGTACCAAAGAATCCAGCCACAAGTCGTGCCGATGAATAGTAATACTATTTATAATCGTAGTTATCAATCGCTCAACACTAATCGCCTGATAGGTGAGACTCAAACAGCGATGCATAAGAGCAAAAACAAAAATGTACGAATGGAACGTTTTATGGGCGCTCCCATTATTTCAAAATCTTCATCTACTGATTATTTCGACTGCGCATCACCGTTTTTCATTCAAATTAAAAAATACNAGAAGCTTCTAAGAAGACATTTAATTTTTTCTACTGAAAATTCTAAATTTCTTCCGTCTTCACAAGTATTTCCTCAGTTTCTGCTTAGTTATTCCCTTTTCTGAAAGAAAGGGTTATAGCGTCATAAATCAGGCCACTAAAATGCAATAAGTTTGTTTGTTTGTTTGCATAATCCAATCAGATTGCAGCATTTCATAAATCAATGAAAACTTAACCAACATGATTAGAAAATGACTGATGACAGGTAATCGGGGTCGAGGATCACGAATCCGAGGTTAGTTTCTCGAAGTTCCAATCAGCTCATTAGCTAATTAGCTAATTAAGTAATGAAAATTTTCTTGGATGTCGAGTAAGGGTCGACCGAAGGGTAATCAGGCTCGAGGATCTCGAATCCGACGTTAGTGTTGCCAAATTAATTATTAATTTTTCATTAACTAGCCACGACTTATTAACATCCATTGTGAGAGTAGACCGAAGGATTTCTGACGTCGGAAAATTCGAATTTGAGGGTGAATTTCGTCTTATTCGCTGAGCTTGGGCTTGTTCCTTCCTCTTTACAAAGGAGATGTTTTTCTTTACCTGTTCTAAAATCTTCTGTAGAAGATGGTGAGTTGAACGCCATTCACGGACGTCATGTGTGCAAAGATAGTAGCTCAAGAACTTACACGAAAAGATCTAATGCATTGTACGTAATGATGTTTCTAATTCAGGAAATGCGAAAAAGTGATATGAGCTTAGTATCATCTTTGCTTTGTAGGCTACATAGATCATGCTCTTTCATGGTAATTTAGTAGAAGTGGTTCGCAAAGTGATATACCCGTCGGTGGAGTTCCATCTTAGTAATTACAGACGCGTGGACTGTAGAAACAGTATTCTGAACACCTGCAGCGCTATGAAAGATGTTCGTTTCGAAGCAAATCATACAATAAGAATTTCTTATCTAGTTTCTTTGGGTAGTCGAATGAATAGAAGATCATGACTGCAGAAGCGACAATAAAAGAAAACCCAATCGTTCAGTTTGAAAGTCGTTCGAAGGCGAAAGGAATAAGAGAGACAGTATGGCAACGGCTAGCCGTGAGTGACCGACCGGAGGGAGGTCGACGAACGGCTAGACGTTTATTTTGAAAATTACTTGGAAGATGAGATTTATCACTGTCTGAACGAAAGTCAACGGTTTTTGAACGCACATAATTTATGCGTTTTCGAGCTTCGAGAATAGGGATTGCACATTATCAGCACTTCAAATTGAACAGAGCAATAGAATATGTACTGTAAACTACACAGTTACGAAGGGCTTTGATAACTTCGATCAGAGATCGACTCAGTATGAACGAGCTACTTCTTTATACGGAAAAACTATGAAAACTGATCATGTGCATCAACGGCTAGTCGTGAGTGACCGACCGGAGGGAGGTCGACGTACGACTAGGCGTTTAAATGCTAGATTAATCCTAAAGTGCACGCTTAGAATAACCTTGCTAGATTTCAGATAATTTTGAAAGGGATTTGACGAATGGATATTCCTCAATGAAAATATTCGTCAAGGTATCATTTTGTTGACAGGAGAGAAAAGAATCGGATTACCGCTGGAAGACACAGGCGAATGTTGACACTTTTCTAGTAGTCTACTGTGTATCGTCCGTCTATGAGTGACTTAGTAAAGCATTTATGAAAATTTCCATGCGCGTGATGTGAAAATAGAAAAACAGATGACAAAGGTCAATGGTTGGCCGTGAGTGGCCGACTGACTAGCCGTTGAGCGATGAATTTTTCAGTCAACATAGTTAGTGCTGGAGAATTATCCACTGACAAATGGCTAATCGGTCTGATTCCTAGAAAGACCTCTGTATCCTATTTATTCTAGTGTGTGACATAGTACCATGATTCAGCTGAGCACCAGTAGCAATCGCAGTGCGTTTTTTCTCTTTCGAAGTCTTTGAATGTGTTCAGCATTCGGAAAAGTCTTTCAGAAAAGGGTCAGCGAATCCAAAGGATGAGCGTTACTTGTTGTTTATTATTACTTAGTAACAAACTTATACAGCAATTTTCAACCAGCATAATAAAAACGTCGTGAAAGGTGATCCTACGCTTTTCAAAATATTTGGACTCAATGTTAAATCTTCAACAGAATTACTTTCGTATAAAAACCACAATAATGCGTGAAAAGCACGTAACGCAAGTAATACAGACTCAAATTGTTTAGATATAAACCTGTTAACAACACCATGTTTTTTTCTGTCTGAGACAATACATGATTGTACACCACTTCTTCTCTCCTTTCGTTTTCTCTCTTTCTCTTCCTCTTCTCCATCTTCCTTCTCTCATATATGGAGAAGCAGATATTATATGTAACTTTAGAGACTTTGGCATTTTCCTGTAGCGTGACACTGCATGTCCCTAGGACTATATAAAGATGAGGAAAGTACACTACAGGTATTATTTCTTTGGGCCAACTAAAAAATACATCTATGACATCTCACAGTTTACACCAGAATTTGTTACAACACTATCAACTTTTCCTATGCATTGAGGGCTATCCTTCCTTGGGTTTCACAGCTCGGATAAAATCAAAACACTTACAACTGCTCCGCTGCGTTTTCTAATAACTCTGTCCTGAGACTGTACCTATTCATAGTTATACATCACCTGCTACAAACTCACAATACAATACATCTCTATAGTCAACAAACGCAACAAAATAAAACAGATATCAGGCCTCCGGCCGTCAGCGAAATTTCTAAAACTGAACGAATTCATCACACTTACTGCCACAAATATTATTAACACATAAAAGATTATTCGAGCCACTGTTACAGTCCGCCGTGACTTTACAGGATTGGCCCGTACCACAATATTTTCCGCTTGTTCCACCACAATCCACATCGGTTTCGTCTCCATTCTTCACACTATCACCGTTTGTCGCAGCTAAAAACATGAACTAAGAAGAGTCTGTTTGTTTCGCACAGAACGATCATACCTAGACACTTGCCACTCGGACATACTCCACTGGTGCAGTCTGTTCCGACCTTGCAGTCCAAACCATTGGCACATTTTCCACATGTTGTTCCTCCACAATCTTTAGCTGTCTCAAGACCATTCATGATGTTATCAGAACACGTTGCAGCTACTCAGAAGAAAGAGATACTATGTTTCTCGAGGTTATAGGTCCATTACCTGCACATTTTTCATCTAGACATGCGGCTTTGTCGCAATCACCAGTGACTTTACAGGATATACCCATACCACAATATTTTCCGCTTGTTCCACCACAATCCACACCTGTTTCATCTCCATTCTTCACACCATCACCGTTTGTAGCAGCTGAAAACATGAACTGAGAAGAGTCTGTTCGTTTTGCACAGAACGATCATACCTAGACACTTGCCACTCGGACATACTCCACTGGTACAGTCTGTTCCGACCTTGCAGTCCAAACCATCGGCACATTTTCCACATGTTGACCCTCCACAATCCTTAGCTGTCTCAAGACCATTCATGATGTTATCAGAACACGTTGCAGCTACTCAGAAGAAATAGATCTCATGTTTGTAGTAGGCATACGTACACTACCTGCACATTTTTCGTCTAGACATGCTGCTTTGTCACAATCACCAGTGACTTTACAGGATTGACCCGTACCACAATATTTTCCGCTTGATCCACCACAATCCACATCGGTTTCGTCTCCATTCTTCACACTATCACCGTTTGTCCCAGCTAAAAACATGAACTAAGAAGAGTCTGTTTGTTTCGCACAGAACGATCATACCTAGACACTTGCCACTCGGGCACACTCCACTGGTACAGTCTGTTCCGATCTTGCAGTCCAAACCATCGGCACATTTTCCACATGTTGATCCTCCACAGTCTGTGTCTGTCTCGGCTCCATTTTTCAAGTCATCGTGACACGTTGCAGCTGTATGAAAGATACAGAAGACACAGTACGTGAAATACGTTCGATTGTTCACATTATACATACTTTGACAGACGCTATTTGTACATAACACATTGTTACAATCGGCTGTAAAAGTACATGGTGCAGCCTCTGGACACGCTGCACAGAAAGTTCCACCACAGTCTTTACCAGTTTCATCTCGATTAACGATCCCATCAGAACAGGTTGGTACTAAATAATGAGGAAAAGCTTTAAGTCAGTAGCTATTACTTTCCTAGTTTTACCTTGACAAATGGTATTTGTGCACTTTTTGCTCGAGCAATCTGTTTTTGTCAAACAGTGCATATTATCAGCACATTGTTTACATGTTGAGCCACCACAGTCCACATCGGTTTCCATACCATTCTTTATACCATCGCAACATGTTGAGTCTGGAATATTATGTGAAAATAGATTATGCATTTTCGAGATCGCTTAGAATTATTGCTATTACTTTTGCATGTACCATCGACACACAATCCAGAGCCACAGTCCGAGGTTGCTTTACAGCTTTGCCCTGCAGAACACTTGGAACAGAGCATACCTCCGCAATCAATACCAGTTTCATCTCCATTGAGTATAAAATCGTTACAGAGTGGTGCTAGAATAAACGTTAATATCTTTTTTTATGGCGATGGCCAGTGTTAAGTTTTGGTCACAAGGGAGTTTTTGTACGACATGAGGCTTTTACCTATGTCTCCTGTAGAGTACAAAAAGATTAGTTTCCATAGAAATATACGGGCTATATTACAGCTATTCAATAAAATATTTAACTAGTTTTACAGTTAACAGGTATAAAGATAATGTAAATCTTGAAGGTCATGGGAAACTAACCTTGGCATTTCTTATTGGTACACACATATGACTCACAATCGGAGCTCATCGTGCAATTTACATTTGTCGCACATTTGTTTTTACATATTTTTCCTCCACAGTCAATGCCTGATTCATCCTGATTATGAATGCCATCGCTGCATGTAGGAACTAATGAAACAAAAACAGTAGTATTTAGTTTAAAATAAAATGCATCTTGTATGCTGCCAAATTTCTGTGTATTTACCTTGGCATATACCACAAGTACAAGCTACTTTGGTACAATCAGATATTTTTTGACATTTTTTACTGGTATTACATCGTAGTGGACAAATTAATCCTCCACAATCTATATCAGTTTCATCTTGATTTTGAATTCCATCAAAGCAAGTTGCTGGTGCTATATTTAATGAACACAAAATAAAGATTACTTTAAAAGGAAAATGAAACTACTATGGAACATATGATAATATACATTTCATTATATACTTATATATTCTAATGACACACTACCTTCTATTTTGTTTTCCTGCTTATACTATGATACAGTAATGTTCAGACTTACTTGTAAAAAAAATAACATAACGATGCATATGTAGATTCACATCTTATTATACAGAAGAATCACTCAATAAAGAGATATTTCCGAAAAATGTATGCTCGATATCTATCTCGGCGAATATACTCAATTCATGTACAAGAACAAAGTATTTTTCTATAACCAATTGTTACGTTAATTGTGAGCTCAATCAACAGTAATCAACTTCGAAAATTCTTCCGATAACAAGATGTTTTTTCTATACCTGCAACAGGTTGTTGGAAAGAGCAAAGTTGACTAGAAATTGAATGAACATTTCCATCAACTGCTGTGATACTGAATGAAAAAGGATTTGAACCAAGTTTGTTTTGAATATCAACTTTTATGGCATGTAAACATTTTTCTACACAATGATCACTGTTGCATTGACTTTTTGGGCATTTGTTGATACGGATTGTGAGACCTAGATTAGCACTTTTTTTTGCACTATTGTTCGTTCCAGTAAGGTCGCTGGTGCATGAAGGCATATCACTAAACAAAAGAAAAAACATTGACTCTATTTTCAACCGAGGTAAATATCAATAAATCAACTGACCTTATTTCTCGTTTTCTCTTCTTACTAGTGCTAGCTGTCAATGTATTGCTACTAAAAGCAGCCCACTGAACATTTAGTACTGAAGATGAATATCCAAGATATTGTTCCAACTAGAATGAGACTACGCATTTCACAATCTTCATGAAGCAAGATACATACTTGTTTACCGATTGAATCATAATTACCAACATTGAATATGTTATTAACGTCCAGGCTAGTAGCAAGGGCCATGTCTATGGTTCTTATCACTTGAAAAAGTCAAACATGACCGAAAAAATTATAGATAAAAGTAGTTCTCATACCATTACTGTTGTGATTGATGATCATATTGTCTGCCTTGTTCGGTAAATATAAGCTAAGTAACGACAGGACAACTACTCCGGCAATGATTCCCAAAACTGTTAAAATAAAAAATATAGCCAACACAGGCAGCCACGATACTAACGTCCTAAAGAAAAGAAAATACGAAAAGAATAATGAACATCAACCACTATATGTTTATACTGATTATTTGCTTGCTGTGAATCACGATTGCTATGGCCCATCAGACGTTCGACATATCCGATGATGAACGACATCAATTATTGTTGACTTTCTCTTGAATTTTAACTACATGAAAGATTTTCTAATTGAATTATCGAAATAAAAATATAACAATATCGATACGGACACTAATACTAGCCAAATTATATTAGGTATTAATATTGGATATAGAGATGTCACAATAACGACGTTAAACTTGACAAAAATACTAGAGTAAATAGGAAGCTGATTTTGCGGCAAGCTCGAGTGAACACTAATAGTATCACGATATAATCGAAAAAAACATATCTTATAAGAAAGACTAGTAGTCGGCGAAAAATGATTAATATTTCACTAAAGTAATTTCAGCAGTGATCCAACGTCGGAACAACTCAGCCGCTATTATCTATATACTTCAAGAAAATATGTACCTAGCATCTTCACGATCGGGAACATCGCTAACACTACTATATCACTAGAATGTATTCTCTTTAGTATATTCGCCGCCTCGAACATTACTTATAACGGTGCTATAATCGAAGGGGGAAAAGTACTGCTATTGAAAGATGGTTTGGATTACATCGATACTTAATATGAATACTAACTACTAGAACTACTTTAACGTCGTATTGATTTTGTCACATCGCTGGGATATCTTGAATAGTTTCAAAGTAATACAGCACTTACCTTTTCTCGATTTGTGCGTTTGTGTTGTGTGAGTATAGCAGGAGTGTTTCGATATTATATACTGTGTAGCCCTACTCATCTCTCTCTGTTATTTTTTTCTGTATTTTGCGTATGTTTTTTTTCGGTATGATTAGTTTGTTTTGCGTTATGATCGTCGTGACGGTTGAATGCTTATACCTTTACGTATTATATCCTTTGATATATTATTGCATCTGAATATTCGAGTAGTTTTTTTTGTACTATACTAAGGCTTTATAATTACTGTCTCTTACTTTTGGATGGATTCGGTGATGACGAATACTTGTACCAGCATCTTTTTATTTATTATAATATCAGTATAGTGTTTTGCATCAAATCTTTCGTTTCTCTACTATACAATTTCAATATTTCGTGATAGTTTTAAAATGAATACATCATATCATTTGCCACAATCACTTTGAGGACAAATTTTCAACAAATGCAAAAGTACCTTTTATTGGACTTCAGACACTACGATGAATATTGCGGATAATTCATTTTAGTAAATATTCTTCCGTTTTCAATAACATTTCTACCAGTCAAATAACATGCTGCTATGGCCATTTTTATGTCTCAAACTCAAAAGAAGGAATAGTAAAATAATTTCTTGTACAGCTGTTGGAGAATAGTGTGTTAGGAGACCCGACTGTGTTCAGCTTACGTCATATCAGTCTATAGAATCAAATGCATAATCAAGCTCCTATTTAAAAATTTCGATTTACTGATTGATTTTTTCACGCTACGTTTGTTGTGGATGCAGAGCGTTTCATATTCTGACTTTTTGTGTCACCTTTTCAATTGAGTGCACACCTTAAAAATTAAATTACAGATTTTAACTTAGCTTGAAACCAGGAATACTAATGATTTTCGTAATCAAGCATATTATTTCTGGAGCATAAGAGATGATTTCATATTGGCTTTTTCACATTTTCAAAAACATATCGAGCTGATCGTATAAATTGGATTTTTAGTGCATATAACTAGATGTAAAAAGTAATCTATATTTCTTGTTGTTTAGAACCAATTCTAATATCGTGCCTGTAACGAAATGTTTCTTCCTTTATCTCTTTGTATTCAATTATGCTAGAAAGATGTTAATAAAACAATTAGCATAAAATATAACGTAACGAGTTCAATGAAGTTTATTTGGATCAAAGCAAAAGACACAAACAATAAATCATTGAGTAATGCACATAAATGGTGGAATAATCTCAATATAATGAGAATGAGCTGAACAGAAGTATCTTGGTTCTCTTGTTGATAATCGCGATGATAGTCTATGGAATTGTCCTTAAAAGACGTTCCCTGAAGAAAAAAAACGAAGATTACGAAAACTCGTAGGTCAACAGATTTGAATTCTGACCCCATAGAAAGTTAGGCTTCACTGCTACATAAATGAATTCAAAATATTACTGCTAAAAAATTTACTTATCGGTGTGAAGCTAGCACCACGAAACTAGTCCAATCAATTCAGTATTTAATTTTTGAGTCGAATCGTGATATTATTATTCACGGCAAAACGAATGGAAAAATTTCCTGAGAATTTTTCTTTTATACGTATATGTACATAGGCAACAAAAAATAAAAATCGACGTAAACTCTATCGCAAACGTTTTTCCATGAATAAAAACGGCACCGTTCGATGCAGAATCAAATTCTGTGTCGAACAGACTGTTTTGTATGGGCATAAAGTCATTTTGTGCAGAGAAGTTGCGTGCCGACTGTGATATAACGACGCATATACATGTATAAATGACAAATAAAGATCAAAGAAAACCTTTTGCCTAGCGTTTTCCCATAAATAAAAATATCGTTTCGTTGTGCTAGCTACACACCGATCAAGTTTAATACTTTAAAATTCTTTTCGTCACATAACCGATTCAATTGCTCATTGTAACACTCAATATTATTCATTAGTTCTTGTACAGTTCGAAAGTTTTGCATCGTTTTCAAACAAGGCATTTAAACACATTGCAGTAGATCCAGAGCGATTCAGTTGAATATAGCTGTGCTTAAGAAAGAAAATTATCTCTTGAATTAGAATGATAGATTCTTCTAACAATTATCCACGAACTTTAAACCAGGACTTTACTTAATATTTATTATATATAGTAATTTTGATAAAACGAAGTCATCTTTTCCCCATGATTATCAGCAATTATTAGAAATTTCATTGTTAATTCGTAGAAAACTACTCGTTTCTCTTCTACCTATCTATAGAATATGCAACTACAGCGAGTAATGGTAAAACTAAGCGCACCAGCGTATGTACAAAATTAACTTTTTTCAGTCTAAGCCACACATAAAAGAATGATGAACACAAATGATTAAAAATAAATTCTTTTTCCATTCAAACATAACTTTCGCTAGAAAGGAAAGTAGTGAAAGAAACTAAAAATCAATCACTCATGAATATCTGTTGTCACCTATCTGACGCATCAGCTACCAGTTAAGCACGTTATTTGAGTGATAATACATTAGTGCGCAACGTACGCTTTGAATCACTTCGAGAGAAATATCGCTTTTGCTCCTATCTAATAGTAAAAGAACTTAATCTTATTTACTAATATTTCCTTTTCTTTCTTATTTACCAGTTTCTTTTACTATCTATTTAGTTCTGAAATTTTCATATGGAAAAATCAAAAGATATCCTTTTACCAAGCAATGTAATCAAACAAATCAGTGAAGAAACAACTGTAATAGATCTCTTTCATTTTACACTTGCAACGCATTATTATATTGATATACGTAACTGATTACCACTTGATAAAGTTGCTCCACAATCGATTAAATCTCTCTTTGATGAGCAAAGTCTATTCCCTCATTCGTATGTTTAAATCGACTTACTTCATTTTCGATGATAAAATTTGTGATTTTTCTATCAACGAATAAATGGAATACTTTTTTATATGAACCCTTCAAACTAGATATGATCGAAAATCATTGAAATACTTTTCCACGAGCGTATTTTGCTTGTACTCACGTTTATGGTCACTTACACCATTTTCCTATTCACCAATATATCCAACTCTTGAAATCTTCAATTATCCCCAACTGATCAACGTGCTTTATTCTCACTATGGGATAATAATTAAATATCACCAAAATTTGTTCTATATTTCGAACAGTTTCGAGAAAACTGTAAATTTTTTTTTCATGGGCGAGTAGATATGTTTGAGACATGTATAGACACATATTTATAATAGACGCCTCTTCTTCACCTACCTTTCTATATCGTTTTTTCAATAAATAGATTAAAATTCATCTCTCAGGTGAAGACTTTACTAATAGTTATATCACTCGGTTGCATAATTATATGGAAACGCAGAAAGATTGATGTGTCAAAGGTTTGATCCGTGCATATTTTCGTTATTCTTTCTCGTTTCTTCGATGTATTTTCTTTAAAATGTTTTTTTTTTCGTCCATTAGTGTGTGACAAGAATGTTGAAATGCATGAATCAATAATAAATGCTCATCGACATACTTTCCAATAAGCTATTATCGTTAGTGTCTAAATATTATGCGTAATATTATTTTCACTTGTTACATACTCGTTCTTGCATTTTACACTCTAAAGACCAAACGGAAAAAATGTCAGTTTCGATTATTTATTCTCTCACATTCTCTTCTCTAGTCAAGCAGAACAGCAGTAAATTATGAATAAGCAATTACATATGTTTAACTGTTAACTGAAGAGCATAGTAATATTGCCACATCATTACTTTATTTTGTTGATATTACACTTTTGATTGATATAAACTATAGCTTTCGGTGTGGATACAAGTCTTTGTTAATTGTTATTCTACGGTAAGTATGAATATAGTTTCCTTTAATACATTCTCAATTATGTTTCTTGCAAGATTTCAAAACTCAGATATACAATGCGATAGCAGTAGAATATAAAGTGATAGAAATTTTATTTATGCTTATCGATAATGTATATTATTTGATAACTTAGTTTCTTCCAGTATTGATGTAAAAATTATTGAGCTAATAGTATTATTTATCAGTCTGTCTATACAGCCATTGACATGATCTACTTCATCAAGGACACGTTTTCGAAAGGATTATCCTGGAAATGTCAATTGTAGACGTTTCGAATATAGTAATCAATTACTTTTGTGTATAACGATTTTCTGGAAAGCAATATTGCTCGTTGCTCTCTTGATTAAAAGGAATGGGTAACATCGATCAATGAGATTTCCCCTTTTTTGAGGGTAATACCTTTTCTTATAAAAAGTTAAAAGATATAAGCCGACTTGAGATTTATTAATTGTCTTACCTTATTTAACAATATGCATCATTCTATCAGACAGTGGCATACATATTTAAAAGTGACGAAGTGATGATAGTTATTTGCAACAAATTAGTGTCCTGCTGTTTTCTAAGACTGTAGACGCATGAAATAGCATTATGCAAATGGCTATGTCACTTTGGAGAATTTCCGAGTACAAATGGTACTACAAATTGATTATCTTTTATATACTTTTTTTTCCATTCGAATAGCCCTCTGACGGTTAGATGGAATCGATAGACTAATACAATTGCTATTCCGTGCGACTTTATATCGATGTTGACCTATCTTGAGATTAATGGAACTGTTAAGACCTTGCAAAGTTATTTGTCTTTCTATCACAGAAGGAACTACTCTATTTCGTAGAGAATCAAAAGACAAGTCGTTAAAAATGAAATTAAGAACGAACGAAAAATATACACGAAATACAGAGGCTGCCATTTATCATGCGTCATCGAATTTTTACAAGTAGCTTGTCTGAGCGTTAGTGCTAAATTAAGAAATAAATACTCTGTTTAACTGAATATTTTTCTTCAATTTTTGCCACTCCTGAGGAGTATACATTGCCAACCAACTTGTCATTTTCTCTGAAATCACTTGTTCGATGATGTTCAGTGCTTTATGTTAAAATGAGGTCCAATTTTTTCGGTTTTCGAATATTGACAATAAGTTAAGATTAGAAAGATGTTTTATAATTAATAGAAAATAATAATATAATCCTTTTCATAGCACACATATTTTAAAATCTCTTCAATACCAAATTGTCAATAGTTTAGATGAATGAAAAAGATAAATCAAAAGCTTATTCATTCTTACAAAATCATAGAATGAAAATTATGTTTTCTTGGAATGGTTTATTTCGTGACCGATATATTTGAAGTGCTTCACTAATACGTTCGTTTTATTATTTACATCATATTTCGAGAAGCTTAATCAGCAATCTACAGACAATGAGATGGCAGTGTTTAAAAAAATACATTCATCAGCGTGAAAATGTGCCTCTAATAACCAGAATGATTAATTTTTGTTTTTAAAAGAGACTTAACGAACATTACATAATTTTCTTCGGAGTATGAAAATAGATCGAAACAATTCGAGAGAAAATCGTTTGTGAAAAGCTTTATACTGTTCGTTGCGGTTTTTTCATTGTAGAAGTAATTAGAAAGAATAATAATCATTATGGCATATTCTCAATTTTTAATGCCAACTCATTGGTCGCAAAATGCTGTACAGTGTTGGGAGGTATTTTGGGGGTCATCTTCTCAACCCTTGCCAATACAAGTGCGTTATATTCCTTGCAAGGGAAATTCGACCGTGACAGAAACGTACCAAAGAAACCAGCCACAAATAGTGCCGATGAATAATAATACTATTTATAATGGTAGTTATCAATTGCTCAACACTAATCGCCTGATAGGTGAGACTCAAACAGCGATGCATAAGAGCAAAGACAAAAATGTACGAATGGAACGTTTTATGGGCGCTCCAATTATTTCGAAATCTTCATCTACTGATTATTTCGACTGCGCATCACCGTTTTTCATTCAAATTAAAAAATACCTTAATCTTGAACCAGATGGTTTACCTTCAACAACTCCAGCAATGATACCAGTAGTTATTGAGAAAGCAGCTCTAGGTATTCTCGAAGAGGGAAAACAATTGGGAAAAGAACGAAAAGCTAGGAAAATAGCATCAATACTTAGACAAATGAAAGATTCAAGAATGGAAGAAATATGGAAAGAATGCGTTTATCTCTATACATCAACAAATTTCCTATACAGATCATTGAATTCAGCTATGAAGTTAGTGTTAGAAAAAGATGAAAAAATATGGAAAAGCAGCGTATCAAGATTAGGCCCATTTTGTTTATTATTATTGGATAATCCATTTAGGAAAGAAAGGACTAGAAACAAAACAATGTATCGAGGTGCTAATATGGATGCTGCACAAATCACTCAATATGAGAAAATGGCTAAAGATAAAACTTTATGTAAAACATTTCAAGCGTATACTTCTTGTACACGTATTCGTAGCAAAGCAAAGGCATTAGGAAATACTCTATTCACAATGGAATTGATAAATGATTGTACTATGGANTTGGATAATCCATTTAGGAAAGAAAGGACTAGAAACAAAACAATGTATCGAGGTGCTAATATGGATGCTGCACAAATCACTCAATATGAGAAAATGGCTAAAGATAAAACTTTATGTAAAACATTTCAAGCGTATACTTCTTGTACACGTATTCGTAGCAAAGCAAAGGCATTAGGAAATACTCTATTCACAATGGAATTGATAAATGATTGTACTATGGACTTAAGTCCATACTCAAAGTATCCAGAAGAAGAGGAAGAACTTATTATGCCTGGCGTTTGTTTTCAGGTTAAAAGTGTTACTTTTGATCAGAAGAAAAATAGGCATCTAATTACTTTGAAATTACAACAAAAAGTTCTTAGTAAGTAGAAAAAAATCTTTGGTAATGTAAGAAATCGGATGTAGTTATACTTAGAGACGAAAAATCTTGCATCAAATTTTACTCAAACTTTGTAATTAGTTAAAACTTCATGTAATCAGAAGAAAATATTTCCTATTGAAAGACATGATATCTTTTCTGATGACTCTACGATCGATAATGTGAATTGGAATTAACGATACTGAATCGGACTTTTCATCTCTATATAATATGGAGTTATAGTCAGATTTTAGCTCGATGACACAAGACTTAGTTTTTCCTCCTTTACTATAGGTAGGCTTAAATCTTTATATGCAATACTATAATGATGTTTTCGAAGCTTTAACGTTGTTTATATGCTCAGAATCTAAATGTATTATTGGATTTGGGTATTGCGTTCAGTTGACGGTCATATGAGAGATTTTGAAATTGGAGCGATATAGCCAAAGAAGAATTGAAAGACAAGTAAGAAAAATAACTCGCCTGCTAATTTTACTTCTAGCAAATGACATAAAAACGAATCTTCCCATTGAAAAACCGACAACAGAAACATCACCCTCTGGTAAAGACTGAAACATGGCCAATGTTCACTAATGTTTATCTCTTTCTCTTTTCATATCTTTTAGTTTCTTTGAAAACTACAATCAATGGAAATATGGTGACAGGACGTAAGTATTCAACAGAACACTAGTCAGGTCGTATGTATAGTTTTGACTTTTGCATAATGAAACTTATAGCATTATCACAGAAATGCATTGCCTAAACATTTCGCTGATGATTTTTGAATATGTAGAGAATACGTTGTACGTATCATTTCTGAAGAAAGAAAACGATTTTTTCGATTATGTTGGATGCAAAACAAACAATCTTATCTTGAATGACTGAAGACAGCATAAATCCTTCTATTCTGTTAGACGACACATGAACTCCTTTTATGTGTATCTAATAAAAAGAACATCTCTGGTTCGTTTCAGATGATTCGTAAAGAGCAATATTACTTATTTCTCTTTGAAAATATGTCTAAATAAGCATTGTTATAAGAAACACTTATCGATTGTACTAGGTTAAGTAATAAGTTTACGGTCACTTGAAGAAAAAAAGCTTTTTTACTATTTCTTCAAGTACAACGCATCACTCTGAAAAATTATCGACTGTAATCTTGATACCAGTGTAGGTCCTTCAACTTGATCAAAAGCTTCAAATCATCGTTATCGCAAAAAATACTCCGTAGAATGAAATAAGTCATAATCATCAGAAGGAGCTACCGAAGGGAGATTTTAGGAAAGCTCACTTTTCGTCGTACGTCAATATGGGCTTCTAGAACCGACCGCTGAACAGATTGTCGACCACAGTTCCCGGTAGCCTTTAACACATCGTATAGCTTGTGCGTCATCAAGTCCATAAGAATCCTATTGTGACTTTTCTACGGACAAAATCAAACTTCTGCAGGTAGATGATAACAGTTCGCTGCATGATTCCAATTTCGTTAGCATAATCGCAAATACTCGATACCATTTCACCTTCCAATAGTGACGGAAAAAAACACGAATAAAAAGAATGTTTTATTACTTGAAGAAGTCTAATAATGTATCATTGTGTCATCAGTAAATATGCGTGCTATCAGCTTGCCAGAATTTTTTTTCCTGACGACTGATCGTCGCATGATTTATTTTTGTATTTTAGTTTCAGCGAAAATGTCAACACCACCAGCAGCAGCAGCACCACCACCACCACCAAGTATTGCAAAGAAGCATATATTCTTGGCCTACGCGGAAGATGATGAGTCTGATGCAGCAATGGTGGAAAAAGTGAAAAATTATTTCATGCAACGACGGTTCAGAGTTTATCATCCAAGAAACAATGAGGATGTTAATACACAAATTGCAAATGGTATTGAAAAAGCCGCTGTGGTTTTAGTTTTTCCCTCGCTTTCATTCGAAATGTCAAAATCTGGATCAAAACTATTGAATTATGCTGATCAAAATAAAACACCAATTCTAAGTGTTAAGATTGATGAAGACTATCTACCGTTGAATTGGCTGGGCGCTATTTTAGCTCCTACGAAGAGTTGTTCGAATAATTTTGATGAAATTATGCAATCTCTGGCTTCACTGAAAATCAAAACTAGTGATCTCGTCCTTGAAAGAGGTGAAAAGAATGAGCCACAAGTGGTAGAAGAGATTTTATTTCAGGGTGGAACCGAATCGGGAAATCTGAAGGCTAGTTTTTATCAATCTGGCAAAGAGTTTCCAATGAAATTCAAAGTATTTAATAAAATTGAAATGATAGAAATTTGAATATCTAATTGAAAATAATTTTATAGTTTTTGGGTTTGAAAAATGGAAAAGTAGTTGGCCAAGGAAATGATAAAGATGGAGATTTTACTCTTGCTGGTGAATACAAGATTGCCGATCGTCTTGGTACAATTGAAATGCAAAAACAACATGTTGGAAAACAGCCCGTTAAATATCAAGGAAAGGTTTCTTTTCAAGAATTAAATTGCAATATAGAAGGACAGTGGAAGACACGCGAAGCATCTGATAAATTTTCCATGAATCTGACTCTTCCACGACCGTATACTGGATCTGGAGAAGTGATGCCACCACCGAAAATTTCACGTAAAAAAGGAACGAAAGTTTTGATCTCTTATTGCCCATGTCAATTTGAGTTTGCTCAAAAAGTGACTAAAGGATTAATTGCTAAAGGTATTCCAGCTGTTTGTCCACCGATGAAGGTTCACGAAATGATCAAAATAGCAACTCAGAAAGCAAGAGTCGTCGTACCACTAATGAGTCAAGCATATGAAGCATCAAATACGGCCAAGTATGTTCTATCATACGTTGATGAAGCTGGTATTCCGATAGTTCCTGTGAAAGTACAACATCCTTACACACAAAGTGGTTGGCTTGGCGTTATATGTGCTGGTGCATTATGGACACAAATGACAGATGCCAATGAATTCGATAAAAAGCTTGATGAGTTGAGAGCCCNGCCGCGGTAATTGTTAGTTTCGATACTGTTGCATATAGCAAAAGTGTTAATTGTAAAAAAGAACTTACGTTCGCTAAGCTATTGGAGAAAAATATTCTTCCCGTTCTCCTTGAGGATGAAAAGGGCTTCGAAAATACCTGGCTAGGAAATGCAATAAAGTCTTTGGACAAGATAAATATGAAAAATGAAAGTGACTTCGATTCCAGCTTTAATGTTCTTCTACAACGTATTGAACAAGCTCTTGAACAAGAAGAACATGAAGATGAATCTAAAGCTATCACGCGCTTTGAGGGTGGTGTTGTTCAAGGAAAATATTATGGAAATGGCCAAGTTTTTGATTTGAAATTTGACTTTTTCAGTTTAATAGACGGATCAGTTTTAGGTCAAGGTGGTGAAGATGAAGATGCTTTTACGCTGGCTGGAAATTATGACAATGAAGGAAATATTAGTTTCAAAGAACAATATGTTGAAAAACATCTCATTGAATATAAAGGAAAACTTATTTGTGATGAATTTGGTGGGTTCAAAATTGAAGGCATATGGAAAGCTCATTATGGGACAGGTGAATTTCATTTGGAGAGTATTAATGATTATAATGATGGCGACGATGATGATGATGCCAGTAAAAGCAAATAAATACGTATAATAGTACGAAAATAATTGGAAATTTTGATCGTTTTTTTTTTCTCACTAACAACAGTTTTTTGTATTTCAATCGATTTATAATTCGCATCTTGACATAAAAGAGAAGCACACTTTTTTAAATCGACAAATAAAAGCCAGGGTCTATTGGAGTAATTTAGATCAGAGACCGGCGGTATGCGGTATCAGTCAGTTATACCGCACTCCCGCATGATTGTAGAAAGAAGACTTATCACAAGGTTTTTGCAGATATCTATTATTTACATCTCTCGGAAATCCAATCTTTCTGTTCTGACGAGAGATGTTCCCCAGGTGTTCAAGGCCTTTAGGTCCCATCTTTTGGCGACAAGTAGACCTCAATGAGATATGAAAAACTTCAAGAGGATTTGTGGCCTTGTGCCTTTATTGCCGAGATATTGAATTCTCAAGGTACATGCAAACGAGACTGAATTGAAAAATAATCGTTTTCACATAGTAGCACAGTATTCAAGTGAAAATATTTCACAGCTTCGCGTATCACTCGTGCAATCTATTCTGGATTTAGTGCTAGATAATATCTTATTAATAGCACTTCTATAGACTGTTTATCGGGGCACAGACGACCCATAACTTTTCATTTCAAATTGGATTTCGCTATGTATAGTAGAAAAGCGTGCACAGGAGTGAATCAGTGAAATTGATAGTTCAGAAAAAAGTGCTTGAAACACAGTGGTTTGTCACACCAGCTGGAACAGGTAAAAGAGTTGCGTCGCATGAAGGTACAACGCATATCGTTGCAGCGAAAGAAAAACACACTTCACTCACTGCTTTGAAGGACTCGGGATGTTTGTCTACGTAGCCGATCGCATACCGATCGTATTAGATCATCGGACAAAATACGTCGGGGCGAGAGTTAGTTGTAAGTAGGAGACATGAGGCGAATGATGTTATTTCGTTCGCTCATGTTGACGTCAAGCTCATCGAGGAGGAATCACTTTCATCTCACTGTTGAAAAAGACATCGACTTCGAAGATGTGGAAGTGACTGTTAGTAATTGATTCCAGCACCTTGCACAACAGATGGGCTACTTCACATTCACGACGCGCGACTTAGTAGCGGAGGTCGCTCTATCTGATACAGTAGACGATAAGTTTCATGCTCGATCAGCGAAAATCTTCATAACGTTTGCAGGATTAATCATTTAGAAATTTATTCAGAGAAATCGGTCTCGTATGCTTGCTGGTATGTCAATTGTATGTCATAAACGATCGAATGAAGAGAAAAATAACCTCATGACATGATACCGAAATGAAAGAAAGAGCACGAGGAGAAAGAAAGTAGAGAAACGTAAACGAAGAACACGTGTAGTTATCAGTTAGATATATTCGTATGCCAGCCAGAACGATGAAAAGGTAATCGCTAGTGTATTTTTGGGCCTCAATAATTTTTCACAGAGCATAATTAAATCCAATTTGAAATGAAAAGTTGTGGGTCGTCTGTGCCCCGATAAACAGTCTATAGAAGTGCTATTAATAAGATATTATCTAGCACTAAATCCAGAATAGATTGCACGAGTGATACGCGAAGCTGTGAAATATTTTCACTTGAATACTGTGCTACTATGTGAAAACGATTATTTTTCAATTCAGTCTCGTTTGCATGTACCTTGAGAATTCAATATCTCGGCAATAAAGGCACAAGGCCACAAATCCTCTTGAGGTTTTTCATATCTCATTGAGGTCTACTTGTCGCCAAAAGATGGGACCTAAAAGCCGTGAACACCTGGGGAACCTCCCTCGTAAATAACGTCTCTTCTTCTCTCTTTTTGTTTGTGTCCATGAGAAAATAGTTTGCTTTCATTTACTTCAACGAATTGATACAAGCCAGTAGATTGCATTATTTACGTTACTGCTTCATGCGTATCCGAGGACAATGCATATTTGGTGAACACGTGCGATATTTGCACTGCATCACTTGTTTGAGTAAGATGTATTAGATAATACTCACAAGTTATGTTTGTTTCAGCGTAATATACACAACAGAGGTACACAGTCTTCTTCGCACGTTCTCGTGGACATAGGAAATTCTGAAAAATTATCACTGATAATATTTCAGAAATTCCCTAGCTTGATATTTTCCAAAATATCTCTTCGTTTGACGTTTTGTCAAATAACTGTTATAAGGGAAAACTTTGACTTTCATCTTAATCTTTTATGAGTTTTTTTTACACTACTAGTATGTTCTCTTTTTGATCTTACCAAGAGCACACACATTGTCATTAAAATATAACTTTCTATCACTCGTCGAGCTGTATTGTGATCGTAAAAACCATGATAGAATTTTAAGAATTTGTGCAGCAAGTCTTGTCATATTGACTATTTTTTCTCAACTAAAGGATAAACATCAGTGATTCTCTCCAAAACAGAATAACACTATATTCAAACAGATTTCATCTGGTAGAACAAGTAGAATGAATGTCTTTGTTGTGCGAGAAGTAAGACGTAGAAAAAAATGGTGCCATATTTTTTAAAATTTAGTTCATGTTAAATAAAGTTGTTCTGTATATAGGCGAAGAAGAAAACATAGTTTTAGGTAAATCTTTTATTCTTTAGACAGATTTTGAACTTCTGTTGTACAGTGATCCAATCAGATTTTTTGAAAGTAAGAACAAAAGACAAGAAAGCATGGTCATACTATAAGCTTACAATAATTCTAAATGTCGAAACTACCGTGGTTTACAGAATGTTCGAATCCTACATATAGACCAGACATCGATGGTTTGCGAGGTGTTGCCATTCTAGCCGTACTCGCATTTCATGTCTTCCCGAATTGCTTACCTGGTGGTTACGTCGGTGTGGACATATTTTTTGTCGTGTCTGGGTACTTGATCACTTCTATCATTGACAACGAGATCGACACAAATTCCTTCAGTTTTCTTCAATTCTATTGTCGTCGCATCAGAAGACTTTACCCATCATTAATCTTAGTGCTGATTGCTTGCTACGCAGTCGGTTGGCATTTCTTATGTCCTGCAGACTTTGGAAACTTGAACGCGTATATTTTCTCTGGTGCATTCTTCTTCGCGAACTTTCTGGCAAACAAAGACACTCAATACTTTAATGGACAATCCGATGCTAAGCCTCTTCTGCATCTCTGGTCATTAGGCATCGAAGAGCAATTTTACATTATTTGGCCAGTGATAGTCTATATTGCAAGAAAGATTAAATTAAACGTACAATTATTGACAATCGTCCTAGCACTGATTTCGTTCGCTATTAACATCAATCAAATTAGAACAGATATAGTTCAAACTTTCTTCTGGCCGACGAGTCGTTTCTGGGAATTGCTGATTGGGGCGCAGCTCTCCTTTGTATCAAAATCTTCTGATAGTTATTGCTCTAATAGTAACAGAGCTATTGCGTGTAACACAATATCGATTGTGGGAATTCTTCTCACTTTCTTACCTATGTACCTGCTCGGAAAAAAATCAGCGTTTCCCGGATGGTGGGCATTGGCTCCAACAACAGGGACAGCATTTCTCATATTAGTCGGACCAGCATGCTGGATTAATCAAAAGATCCTTTCGACACACGTATTGGTAGCGATCGGACTGATTAGCTATCCTCTATATCTGTATCATTGGCCGTTACTTGTCTTTGTACACGTCTATGCTGAACAATCAATATCCATTGATAAACTCATCCTAGTGGTTGTATTTAGCTTCGCTTTTGCGTGGCTCGCATACTGGTTCATTGAAAGAGCCTTTCGTACAACACGTTTATCGAATTTAAACCATCTTTACTTAATTGCAATTATGTCGATGATAGGTTTTGTCGCACTTCTGACTTATCATTATGATGGACTGCCAAACCGATTCTCTCCATATGTAAGAAGCATGACTTATTTGACTGAGAATTATTTTCGTCGACATATGACCGCTTACGGAGTACCTGGCTCCTTCATCAGCCCCAGGCAAGGTATGGACAAGTTTGGTACCACTACGTTTAACATGGGAAAACCTGCTTCGACGGCAGTAGTATTGTGGGGCGATTCACATGCTGCTCATCTTCGTCCAGGCATACTGGCACAAGAGATTGAGCTTCGATTTACACAACTGACAGCCAGCGAATGTCCACCTATCTACGGTTATGATAGAGGTGATATACCCTTATGCAAACAGATTAATAACAATATTTTTCGAATAATCGCATCTCAGAAGCCAAATGTAGTCTTACTAGTGGCAAACTGGGTTTTATATCCTTGGCAAAGTGTTGGCGAAACCATTGCACAATTACGCAATGCAAGCATAAAAAATATTTATCTGATTGGACCGATGCCTGAGTGGTCTAAAGGATTGCCTAGGGTTTTATGCGATTATAACTCTCGGATTTCTCAGAATAAAATACCTTTTCGTCTAACGTACGGCCTAAATCCCTACCAGAAGCAATTAGACAACCAGATGGAGACGTTCGCCAACAGTATTGGCGTTGAATACATCTCTCAATACAAGATACTATGCAATTCTGATGGGTGTTTGGTCAGAACTGGAGAAAGCATCTCCACAATAACTGTATATGATTTGACTCACTTAACTATTGCTGGATCTCAGTTCGTTGTAAGTCAATTTCCAAAAAACCTTTTTCGTGCACAATGAGAACAGATATCATTATCTTTGTTAAAGAATCAGTAAACGCAATGACTATACATCGGATACTACATAACAGATAACCATCTCCACATGATTATTATCATGATTTCATTGAGAACATTTTTCTATGAAACTAATTGATTAGTCCAAGATGCGCAGTTTCCGGTCACAACATCGAACCGATTGCTTTTGTTTTCTTGTAGGAATTGATCGGCAAGGATCTTTTTTAATGAAAATTTCACCTCTTCGACTGATTTAGCTAGCTCCTTCTAGACACAATACTCCGATGAATTTTCTGATGTTTCAAGATTTTGTTTACATATCTCACATCCGAAAACTCAGAACTTTCAATAGAGAGTATTTTAATTTTTTTAACTAAAAGTGTTTTCTACCTGCACAGGCGAAATCAGTAAAAAAATGCGCTTTTACGCGCGAGAAAGCGCACATTCATCTTCGTAAAAACGTGTTAAAATATCGTGTAACACTTCTAGAGAAGAGCCGATTTTCAATACTCGAATACCGACAGAAGAGTTTTCTCTCAAAATAAAGCACTTTTTTCAGCGTTAAAATTCACATATTGACACTTTATTACTAATGAAGATGTACGACTTTTATGACGTAGAAACAGCGTAAAATAAGGCTTGTCTGTTTGGAGAATAGTCATTTCGTATGTCTGACTGTAAAAATAGCGCAATTCAAGTTTCAAGGTAGATTTATTGAGGAATTATGAAAAAAGGCTTCGATAAAGTTTTTAAACAGTTGGATAACTAGCCAATGTAGCAATACCACATTGATTCTTTTTGTTACGACTCATCCAAATATAACCTTTCATACCCCATGAGGTACCCCAGGAATTTTTGACGATATAGTAATCGTGTCCGTTTTTGGTACCATAGCCAACAGCTAAAACGCCGTGATCAAGATCTTCAGATGAGCATGATTTTTCATTGTAAACACCCGATTTATACATTTGAAATGAGTCGGCTGAAGCATCAATAGCGACTGAAATTGGACCCACTGTGGCAATTGCATCTTGTAAATCATCTTCACTGTATTGTTTAATATCTTTACAGCCCTATGAAAAGAAAAAACGAACAAATTATTCATATTTTAGCTAAAAGAAAAAACACTTACAGTATCTGTGGCACCAACGTTTTTAGTATTGAATCGGCATGTATCATCCTCGGCTTCATATGGATAGCTTGATTCGGTGTCAATACCATGGTTTTCTTTGATGTATTTGAAGGCATTGTCCATTAAACCACCATCACATCCATAATTACCATAATCAGTTGAACAATCAACTAAATTCTGTTCAGAAAGTGAAACAAGTTGCTTTGTTTTGGCAAAGTGTTGTCCTTCGAGTGCACCAGTTGTTGAAAAAGCCCAACATGATCCACATTGACCTTGATCTTTTACTGGTGTTACGTAGCCTTTTGTACGCCAATCTGTTGAATTTAAATAAAAAACTTCATACAAATCATCAACATTTCTTCAATACATACCAACAGCATCTGGTCTTTTCAAGTTTCGTGGAGCAACATATTGATCACAAGTACCAGAAAAACTAACATTTGAACCAACTCTAAGACCATTCATTTGTTTGACAAATTCTCTATTGGTCTATAAATATTAATGGGAACAATTGAGTAGAATTTATTGTCAAACATACCATATCACCATATTTATTCATTCCTAATGTATAAGTATGTAAACCCAGATCAGCTTCAAGATTATGTTTTTTAATAAGAGCAACATGATCTTCCCAAATTGCTCGACTAAAAACAAAGATGAATATTAAACGGAATGGATAAAAAGGCTCTCTTACCGTGTTGATTCTTCTGCGTTTGATGCATAACGTTTTTGATATGTATTCTTAAATAAGGCCCATGTTGAATCTAATGTCGCATCAAATGTTGGTATAGAGTACACATAGGCAAAAAGAAAGCAGACAGCAATAAAAGCTTTCATTGTAGATACTAAGTTTGCTTTAATGATGAATAACAATAAAAAGAACTGAGTTTTACATTAGTATATATATGACTGTTATTTTTTTGTTTTGTCAATGTTTTTTTTAAAGATAACAAGGCACCCAAAATAATCTCTGTCACTATCAATATTCTTTTTTTTGTTAAGAAAATATGACAATGCAAAGAATAACTAACGCAGTTTTGTTTCCCAGTTAGATAATCAAAATATGACTCGAAATTTTCTTTGTCATGTGCAAATGACTTGCAAAAATTTTACTTTAATAATTTGATGATTACAAATAAAACATTTTCGAACTTATTCACGTGTCTATTACCAAAGCAAATTAACTAAAGAGCAATTTTGAACTTTATACTCCATCGTATTCGTTGGTGTAATTGGAAAAGTTATAATGCTTTTTGTGCGTCATGCAAAAATTTCAAGGATACCAATGGAAAAAAAATGAAAAGAATAAATGTAATTCTATATAAGTGTGATTGCAAATACGTAAGGTTCACTTATTTTTGTAGACTATTCGTTTTTGTTTCAAATTTCTAAGCTAAAACTAGATAAAAACTAAACTAAACATTTTAGAAAGAGAACAAAGAGAAGAATAACCAAAACGGTTGTATGTATGATATATTGGACATGGATTCGCACACCGGTGTGTTCCAACTCTGATCACATGTGTTCCAGGTGGAACTCGGCGAGCTCTAGCTATTTCAACAAAGATATTCCGAGAAATATCATTCCTTACCCATCAAAAATGCAAAAGAGTCTTAAAAAACATTAAAAAATTCCAGAAAAGCACACACGGATTCGTTTCATCACTTCGAGCCCCCGTTCCAGCACTTATTCCAGACACAACTGGACGAGCTTTATCGATTTCAGTCAAAAAAATTTCCTCCCAACCGCACCCACACTCAGACACTTACACAACACCCAAACTCATCCGAATCATACAATGAATGCAGTAAGGCCCGTGCAAATTCATGCAGATACATCACTCATGAGACTTCATACATAANTTGGATAATCCATTTAGGAAAGAAAGGACTAGAAACAAAACAATGTATCGAGGTGCTAATATGGATGCTGCACAAATCACTCAATATGAGAAAATGGCTAAAGATAAAACTTTATGTAAAACATTTCAAGCGTATACTTCTTGTACACGTATTCGTAGCAAAGCAAAGGCATTAGGAAATACTCTATTCACAATGGAATTGATAAATGATTGTACTATGGATTTAAGTCCATACTCAAAGTATCCAGAAGAAGAAGAAGAACTTATTATGCCTGGCGTTTGTTTTCGGGTTAAAAGTGTTACTTTTGATCAGAAGAAAAATAGGCATCTGATTACTTTGGAATTAAAAAAAAAAGTTCCTAGTAAGTAGAAAAAATCTTTGGTAATGTAAGAAATCGGATGTAGTTATACTTAGAGACGAAAAAGATTGCGCCAAATTTTACTTAAATTTTGTAATTAATTAAAACATCATGTAATCAGAAGAAAATACTTCCTATTGAAAGACATGATATCTTTTCTGATGGCTCTCCGATAGATAATGTGAATTGGAATTAACGGTATTGAATCGGACTTTTCATCTCCATATAATATGGTGTTATAGTCAGATTTTAGCTTGATGACAAAAGACTTAGCTATTTTTCCTCCTTTACTGTAGCTAGGCTTGAATCTTTATATGCAATACTATAATGATGTTTTCGAAACTTTAACGTTGTTTATGTGCTCAGAATCTAATTTTTTTATTGGATTTGGGTATTGCTTTCAGTTGACGGTCATATGATAGATTTTGAAATTGAAGCGATATAGTCACAGAAGAATTGAACGAAAAGTAAGAAAAATAACTCGCCTGCTAATTTTACTTCTAGCAACAGATATAAAAACGAATCTTCCCGTTGAAAAACCAACAACAGAAACAACATCCACTGGTAAAGACTGAAACATGGTCAATGTTCACTGATGCTTATCTCTTTCTCTTTTCATACCTTTAGTTTCTTTGAAAACTAAAATCAATGAAAATATGGTGACAGGACGTAAGTATCCAACAGAATACTGGTCAGATCGTATGTATAGTTTTGACTTATTCCATAACGAAACTTATAACATTATCACAAAAATGCATTGCCTAACCATTTCGCTGATGATTTTTGAATATTTAGAGAATACGTTGTACGTATCATTTCTGAAGAAAGAAAAGGATGTTTTCGATTATGTTGGATACAAAACAGATAATCTTATCTTGCTTGATTGAAGACAGCATAAATCCTTCTATTCTGTTAGACGACACATGAACTCCTCTTATGTGTATCTAATAAAAAGAAAATCTCTGGTTCGTTTCAGGAGATTCATAAAGATCAATATCACTTATTTCTCTTTGAAAATATGTCTAAATAAGCATTGTTATAAGAAACACTTATCGATTGTACTAGGTTAAGTAATAAGTTTGCGGTCACTTGGAGAAAAAAGATGCCTTTTTTACTATTGCTTCAATTACAACACATCATTCTGAAAAATTATCGACTGTAATCTTGATACCGGTGTAGGTCCTTCAACTCGATCAAAAGTTTCAAATCATTATTGTCGCAAAAAAATACTCAGTAGAATGAAATAAGTCATAATCATCGAAAGGAGCTGTCGAAGGCAGATTTTTAGAAAAGCCCACTTTTCGCCGCACGTCAATATGCGCTTCCAGGACCGACCGCTGAACTGATTGTCGACCACAGTTGCCGGTAGCCTTCAACGCATTGTATAGCTTGTGTGTCATCAAGTTCGTAAGAATTTTACTGTGACTTTTCTATGGACAAAATCAAATTTCTGCAGGTAAAATGATAACAGTTCGCTGCATGATTCCAGTTTCGTTAGCATAATCGCAAGTACTCAATACCGTTCTATCTTCGAATAGTGACGAAAAAACACAAATAAAAAGCATGTTTTTTTTACTTGAAGAAGTCTAATAATGTGTCATTCCATCAACAGTAACTACACATGTTATCAGTTTTCCATAAGGTTTTTTCCTGAAGACTGATCGTCGCATGGTTTTATATTTTAGCTTCAACGAAAATACCAACACCAGCAGCAGCACCACCACCACCATCAGGCATTGCAAAGAAGCATATATTCTTGGCCTACGCAGAAAATGATGAGTCTGATGCAGCCATGGTGCAAAAAGTGAAAAATTATTTCATCCAACGACGGTTCAGAGTTTATCATCCAAGAAAAAATGAGGATGTTAATACACAAATTGCAAATGGTATCGAAAAAGCCGCTGTGGTTTTAGTTTTTTCCTCGCTTTCGTTCGAAAAGTCAAAATCTGGATTAAAACTATTGAATTATGCTGATCAAAATAAAACACCAATTCTAAGTGTTAAGATTGATGAAGATTATCTACCGTTGAATTGGCTGGGTGCTATTTTAGCTCCTGCAAAGAGTTGTTCGAATAATTTTGATGAAATTATGCAATCTCTGGCTTCACTGGAAATTAAAACTAGTGATCTTGTTCTTGAAAGAGGTGAAAAGAATGAACCACAGGTGGTAGAAGAGATTTTATTCCAGGGTGGAGCCGAATCGGGAAATCTGAAGGCTAGTTTTTATGAATCTGGCAAAGAGTTTCCAATGAAATTCAAAGTATTTAATAAAATTGAAATGATAAAAATTTGAATATTGAATTGAAAATAATTTTATATAGTTTTTGGGCTTGAAAAACGGAAAAGTAGTTGGCCAAGGAAATGATAAAGATGGAGATTTTACTCTTACTGGTGAATACAAGATTACCGATCGCCTTGGTAGAATTGAAATGCAAAAACAACATGTTGGAAAACAGCCCGTTAAATGTCAAGGAAAGGTTTCTTTTCAAGAATTAAATTGCAATATAGAAGGACAATGGAAGACACGGGAAGCATCTGATAAATTTTCCATGAATTTGACTCTTCCACGGCCATATACCGGAACTGGAGAAGTGATACCACCACCGCAAATTTCACGTAAAAAAGGAACGAAAGTTTTGATCTCTTATTGCCCATGTCAATTTGAGTTCGCTCAAAAACTGAGTAAAGCATTAATTGCTAAAGGTATTCCAGCTGTTTGTCCACCGATGAAGGTTCACGAAATGATCAAAATAGCAACTCAAAAGGCAAGAGTCGTCGTACCACTAATGAGTCAAGCATATGAAGCATCGAATACGGCCAAGTATGTTCTATCATATGTTGATGAAGCTGGTATTCCGATAGTTCCTGTGAAAGCACAAAATCCTTACACGCAAAGTGGTTGGCTTGGCGTTATATGCGCTGGTGCATTATGGACACAAATGACAGATGCCAATGAATTTGATAAAAAGCTTGATGAGTTGATATCACAATTACAACCGTATACTACTGATTGTGATGATCAAGACGAACAAGATGATATCCTTGTTGATGACGAGTACGTTGAAGGCTATTATTTGGAGTCGGGAAAAGAAATTTCTATGGAATTTGATATGTTCTCTTTGATAAATGGATATATTGCGGGTGAAGGAGAAGATGATATTGGTAGCTTTGTGATTAGTGGTGAATATTATGACTCACCGGTTACGAAAGAATTAAAATTTGAATTTAAAAAGCATTATATCGAAAACTATGATGTCTACTATTCTGGAATTATAACTGAAGAAGATTCTATATTATCCTTTGATGGAGAATGGAATCGAAACAATATATCTGATGTCTTCCATTTAGACGCACGTCGCTTCGAACCGTCACGATCTCAACGTTCGCATGTTATGTTAAGTTATCAATGGGATAGTCAAAAATTCGTTAAGAAGATAGCAGGTAAACTTAAAGAGAAGAATATTCCGATATGGTTTGACATTGGTGGAGATATGAAAGGTAATATCAATGCCGCTATGGCTAATGGTGTGCAAGAAGCCGCGGTAATTGTTAGTTTCGATACTGTTGCATATAGCAAAAGTGTTAATTGTAAAAAAGAACTTACGTTCGCTAAGCTATTGGAGAAAAATATTCTTCCCGTTCTTCTTGAGGATGAAAAGGGCTTCGAAAATACATGGCTAGGAAATGCAATAAAGTATTTGGACAAAGTAAATATGAAAAATGAAAGTGACTTCGATTCCAGTTTTAATGTTCTTCTACAACGTATTGAACAAGCCCTTGAACAAGAAGAAAATGAAGATGAATCTGAAGCTATCACGCGCTTTGAGGGTGGTGTTGTTCAAGGCAAATACTATGGAAATGGCCAAGTTTTTGATTTGAAATTTGACTTTTTCAGTTTAATAGACGGATCAGTTTTAGGTCAAGGTGGTGAGGATGAAGATGCTTTTACACTGGCTGGAAATTATGATAATGAAGGAAACATTAGTTTCAAAGAACAATATGTTGAAAAACATCTCATTGAATATAAAGGAAAACTTATTTGTGATGAATTTGGTGGATTCAAAATTGAAGGTATATGGAAAGCTCATTATGGAACAGGTAAATTTCATTTGGAGAGTATTAATGATTATAAAGATGGCGACGACGACGATGATGCCAGTGAAGGCAACTAAATACGTATAATAGTACAAAAAATAATTGAAAATTTTGATCTTTTTATTTTCCACTAACAACAGTTTTTTTGTATTTCAATCGATTTATAATTCACATCTTGACATCAAAGAGAAGCACACTTTTTTAAACTAACAAATAAAAGCCAGAGTCCATTGGAGTAATTTAGATCACTTCATCATAAATTAGGGAAATTCCGAAAGATATTTTCCCAACTCTTAAATTCACCTTTTTAACCTTTAATATTCGAGTCAAAAATGATATCATTCAATAGTCCAAAGTCTCTTCCATGGTACCCGTCGATATCAAACGCAATAAAAGAATAAATATAAGCACATCGATGATCACAATGATACTTCTGAAACACATGACTTTTTCTGAATAATCTAATTCTGATCACATAATCCTTTTCCGCTGCAAATAAGTTACAACCCGTAACACTTTTGCAATTCAATTTTGACTGCTAATTCACTTACAAAGGTTGTTCGAGTCGCTAACCTCTATTTTTTACGAAAAATCATCTGTATATACGAGCAATATCACAGAGATTGACATCGTCTTGCACCTCAATCCGGCAATTTAGCTTGTCTTTTCTATCACAATTTCATTTGTTTGTTTGAAGAAAGTGGCAAATCACATGCCTTTCGGCAAGTAGAAAAGGTAGTAACGAAAACAGAAGATATTCTCAGCAACACATTTGAAGTCTGTGATTCTTAACAGAAGAACACGGGAATCAGATTTGTCGTCTCTTTTGACCCACACTAATTATATCGACTTGCGCCAGCATCTCGCCTGAAACAACAAAATTCTATTGAATGATGACGCCGATCTTATTGCAGAGTCGTATGGTCTTTACAACGCGAGCGACTCCACGAAAACAATTCTACAGCTCTAAAATCCTGCTAGCCAACTCACTTAGAAACGACAGAAGGCACAAGTTTAAGCAATTAATGGAATCCCACTGTCGAAAGAAGATGTATTCAGACGAAGTATGCCTCACGGTGCGCAAGTTCCACAACAAAGAGATCAAGCAAACATACCCCCGAGCACGATGCAGTACAACAACACCACAGCAGCGACAGACAAAGAGAAGGCAGACATCTTCGCCGACTATTTCGAGAAAGCGGTCTACTCCAAAGCGCCGGACACGCTCCCGTTCCATAAGCAAGTTGCACGACAAGCCAAGAAAGTGAAGAAGGATATGTTACATCCGTCAACCATCACCAAATGGGAAAAGCTTTCAACCAAAGAAGTTAAGTGACATATCAAACAACTACGCAACAACGCCATTGGCCCAAATAATGTGCACAACAGATAACTGAAAAACCATACCGAGCTATTTGTACAACACCTCACAGCATTGTTCAATACGATTATGGAAGTTGGATACATACCAGACATCTGGAAGAAAGCATGTATTATCTTACTCTTGAAGCCGAACAAGGACAAGCGTCTAGCATCCAGTTATCGCCCCATCAGTCTCATGAGCTGTCTCGGTAAGCTGCTGGAGAAGATCATCAAGCAATGGCTCACGCTCGAAATCGAACGTAGAAACATTCTTCGAGCACATCAGGCACGATTCTGTGCGAAGAAGCGCACACTATACAACATCGTCCGACTTGAACGCTTCGCAAGAAGCAAACTCCATCGACCTGGAATACGACAACACTCCACTGTAATTTTCTTCGATATTAAAGTCGCATTTGATTCAGTCTGGCACGATGGCCTTATATACAAGCTACCTGATCTTCTTCCTCCACAACAGGGCTGCTGCAATCGAAATGGACAACATCCAACACCCTGACCAGTCTTACACAAAGACTACAACAGTCCATAGATGCATTCGAAAGTTGGTGTAAATCGTGGAAGCTGAAGCTACAGCCAACAAAGACCTAGATGGTTCACTTTAGACTTCACCCAAGAAAGAAATACAAGCATTCAGTAGAAGTCAACGTCGAAAATACTATCATCAAACCTCTGGATGTAACCCGTTACTTGGCTGTAATTATCGACAAGCAACTGAAGTGGAGAAACCATCTTCAACATCTCGAATCGAAAATGGCTGGACGCATTAGTCTTCTACGATACTTAGCCAAATCAGCACAAGAACGTAATCAAAAGACGATGATAAGCATCTTCAAAGTGATTGCACGATTAGTGATGACATATGAATATCCAATTTTACTAACAGCAAACGACAAAGTATAGGATCGGCTTCAAATCATCCAAAACAAAGCGCTTCACGCTACTCTCAGCCTGCCGATCTATACGTCTGTCGAATATGTACATCGGATATCGAAAATATCGAAGGTCAAAGAATATGCAACATTACTGCTTCACAAGTCTATTAACACAGCCTCATCAAACAAAGATCAAACGCTCCTCCAACACTTTCAAGACATCGCAGACCATCTATGACAAAACACCAGCTCCGATACTATAGGACAATCTGCGTCGTCTCACATGTCGACAGCAGATCTACGACAAATGACTACTGACACTGACTACTTCTCCGACAACAAATCAATCCACACACTATGACGACAACCTCTAGACAACCCGACCATCCTTCTATCTCTCGTCGTGAAGACAGTTAACGACTATACGTGACGTACGCATCTTCGATATTCGGTTTCATCCGTTCTACACGCTGTGTTAATAGCAGCGTGAAACAACACTCTCCATTATTAACGTTAGCGTCGAGAACATAGATCGTTCTTAGTTCGGCCGAATCTGTACGAAAATTGTTATATCGGAATCGCGTACAAAACGTTTGATCAAAAACGAAGAAAAGACGATTATCGACGTATACATCAGCTCGTTCCTGCACATATACGTCGACGTCTCTTCGAAGATAACTACCACTACACTACCCTCCAACACCTCAACCTTTTAAACTGTTTTTTTCCTTTTCTTTACGAGACATAAGACACAAGTCATGCGTCTCTTTTCTCTCCTACCACCTTTATAACTAGTCTGTCCGTTGTTTGTTTCTTCTCTCTCTCCTTTCGTTCTGTGTTTTCGTTTCTTTTCCTATAAACTGCTTGATTAAATACAAATAAAGCGTTGACTCAAAAAAAAAGAAACGTGCGTTTTTTTGTGCTGCATCACTTGTTTGAGTAAGATGCATTAGATAATACTCACAAGTTATGCTTCTTTCAGCGTAATATGCACAACAGGGGTACACAGTCTTCCTCATATGTTCTCGTGGACGTAGGAAATTCTGAAAAATTATCACCGACAATATTTCACAAATTCTCTAGCTTGATATTTTCCAAAATATCTCTTCGTTTGACGCTTTGTCAAATAACTATTATAAGAGAAAACTTTGATTTTCATCTTAATCTTTTGTGAGTTTTTTTTTACACTACTAGTATGTTCTCTTTTTGATCTTTCCAAGAGCATACACATTGTCATGAAAATATAACTTTCTATCACTCGTCGAGCTGTATTGTGATCGGAAAAATCATGATAGAATTTTAAGAATTTGTGCAGCAAGTCTGGTTACATTAACTATTTTCCTCAACTAAAGGATAAACACTGATGGTTCTCTCCAAAACAGAATAACACTATATATTCAAATAGATTTCATCCGGTAAAACAAGTAGAGTAAATGTCTTTGTTGTGCGAGAAGTAAGAAACAGAAAAAAATGGTGCCATATCTTTTAAAGTTTAGTGCATGCTAAATAAAGTTGTTCTGTAGGTGAAGAAGAAAACGTAGTTTTAGGTAACTCTTTTATTCTTTAGACAGATTTTGAACTTCTGTTGTAGGGTGATCCAATCTGATTTTTTGAAAGTAAGAACAAAAGACAAGAAAGCATGGTCAGACTATAAGCTTACAATAATTCTAAATGTCGAAACTACTGTGGCTTACAGAATGTTCAAATCCTACATATAGACCAGACATCGATGGTTTGCGAGGTGTTGCCATTCTAGCCGTACTCGCATTTCATGTCTTCCCGAAATGCTTACCTGGTGGTTACGTCGGTGTGGACATCTTTTTTGTCGTGTCTGGGTATTTGATCACTTCTATCATTGACAACGAGATCGATACAAATTCCTTCAGTTTTCTTCAATTCTATTGTCGTCGCATCAGAAGACTTTACCCATCATTAATCTTGGTGCTGATTGCTTGCTACGCAGCCGGTTGGTATTCCTTATGTCCTTCGGAGTTTGGAAACTTGAACGCGTATATTTTTGCTGGTGCATTCTTCTTCGCGAACTTTCTGGCAAACAAAGACACTCAATACTTTAGTGCACAATCCGATACTAAGCCTCTTCTGCATCTCTGGTCATTAGGCATCGAAGAGCAATTCTATATAATTTGGCCAGTGATAGTCTATATTGCAAGAAAGATGAAATTAAACGTACAATTATTGACAATCGCCCTAGCACTGATTTCGTTCACTATTAACATCAAGCAAATTAGAATAGATATAGTTCAAAATTTCTTCTGGCCGACGAGTCGCTTTTGGGAATTGCTGATTGGGGCGCAGCTCTCCTTTGTATCAAAGTCTTTCGATAGTTATTGCTCTAGCAATAACAGAGCTATTGCGTGTAACATAATATCGATCGCAGGAATTCTTCTCACTTTTTTACCTATGTACCTGATCGGAAAAAAATCAGCGTTTCCCGGATGGTGGGCATTGGCTCCAACAACAGGGACAGCATTTCTCATATTAGGTGGACCAGCATGCTGGATTAATCAAAAGATCATTTCAACACACGTATTGGTAGCGATCGGACTGATTAGCTATCCTCTATATCTGTGTCATTGGCCGTTACTTGTCTCTGTACGCGTCTATGCTGAACAATCCATATCCACTGATAAACTCATCCTAGTGGTTGTGTTTAGCTTCGCTTTTGGGTGGCTCGTATACTGGTTCGTTGAAAGAGCCTTTCGTACAGCACGTTTATCGAATTTAAACCATCTTTATTTAATTGCAATTATGTCGGTGATAGGTTTTGTCGCACTTCTGACTTATCGTTATGATGGACTACCAAACCGATTCTCTCCATACGTAAGAAACGTGACTCGTTTCACTGAGAATTATTTTCTTCGACATATGACCGCCTACGGAGTACCTGGCTCCTTCATTAGCCCCAGAAAAGGAAAGGAAAAGTTTCGTACCACTACGTTTAACATAGAAAAACCTGCTTCGACGGCAGTAGTATTGTGGGGCGATTCACTTGCCGCTCATCTCCGTCCAGGAATACTGCACAAGAGATTGAGTTTCGATTTACACAACTGACAGCAAGCGAATGTCCACCTATCTACGGTTATGATAGAGGTGATATACCCTTATGCAAACAGATTAATGACAATATTTTTCGAACAATCGTATCTCAGAAGCCAAATGTAGTCTTACTAGTGGCAGGCTGGAGTGCATATCCTTGGCAAAGTGTTGGCGAAACCATTGCACAATTACGCAATGCGAGCATAAATAATATTTATCTGGTTGGGCCGATGCCTACGTGGCCTAAAGGATTGCCTAGGGTTTTATGCGATTATAACTCTCGGATTTCTCCGAATGAAATACCTTTTCGTCTAACGTATGGCCTAAATCCCTACTCGAAGAAATTCGACAACAAGATGGAGACGTTCGCCAACAGTATTGGCGTTGAATACATCTCGCAATATAAGATACTATGCAATTCTGATGGGTGTTTGGTCAGAACTGGAGAAAGCATCTCCACAATAACTGTATATGATATGGGTCACTTAACTATTGCTGGATCTCAGTTCGTTGTAAGTCAATTTCCAAAAAAAATTTTTCGTGAACAATGAGAACAGATACCATTATCCTTGTTAAAGAATCAGTCAATGCAATGACTTTACATGGGATGCTCCATAACAGATAACCATCTCCACATGATTATTCTCATGTTTTCATTGAGAACATTTTTCGATCAAACTAAGTGATTAGTCCAAGATGCGCAGTTTCTGGTCACAACATCGAACCGATTGTTTTTGTTTTCTTGTAGGAACAGATCGACAAGAATCTTTTTTTAGCTAGCTCCTTCTAGACACAATACTCCGATGGATTTTAATCTAGAATATCGAGTGATCATTACTTCCAGCTCAGAAATGTTGCAAGGTGATCCCGAACCATTTCGAGTCAGATAATGTGTGTGAAGGCGCATTCCGATTTGTGCTACTGTGCATGGTCGGTTGTTCTGTCTTTGAGAATCATTGATGGTATATTACTTTTAGGACAAACTCTAAGCCATAGCATCATATTTTCGAGAAATTTTTCGTGTCCGGATATTAACTAACCAATGAATAGAAATATTAAAATGATTGAATTTAACATGGCCTAATTTTGTTGATCGAAAACATAATTGATCAAGATTATTGTCGATCAGATAGTTTTCAGATATTCTTGGTGTTTATTTCACAGAATAAGTGTTAGTTGTTAAATAATCATGATATTATTCTTTTTATCTAGCAGCAATTTTTTTTATCTCACTCGATCAGTTTTAACTTCACATTTTTTGATTTAAATAAGAGAGAGAAACGATTAATTATATTTGAAACATTATGAGTTGACAATTTCTATTCTCTAAGAATCAATTTAAAAAAAACTTAATTGTAATATTTGAAATTCTTACTATTGAAGCTGCTCCAATTGAATACTAAAATATTTATAAAAAAAGTAAAAGTATGTAAATAAATAAGTTCTATATAAATTACTTGAATATGTTGAGTTAATAAATCAAGTTAGACACAAGCATTATTCGTCTGAATTCCCTTCCCTTTAGACAGTTCAATGGGCGGATTTCCAGTTCTAATAGTCAAAACAATTTTAAAAGTGACATTAAAACCAATCCCTTAAGAATCATATAATCAGCCTTTAAATCAACTTTGATTTTTGCCGTTGATTAAAAATGTTGGTAAATTATTTTCAATTTCCATCATAATATTATTAACTTCATTTGTAATTGTACTTGATTGCCAATCAAAACTATGTGAAATATTATCTGAAAAATGATCATACATAGAAAGCGTTGTTTCAATTTCATCTCTAACAATCATTTCTCGTTCTACTAATTTTATTCGAAAATATCCAGTTGAATAAAGTAAAATATACTCACCATCTTGATTAACAAATGGAAATGTATTTTCAGTATAACCACCATTTTTTACGGAAAAGTTTGTATTATTGATACTTTTAGATACCATACGTATCCAAGTTGTATTAGGACTACTTATTGATAAACCAGAATCATGATATTGTAACCAACCTGGACGTTTTCGATGACAATTTTCTAATGAAATTAAAATATCATTATTATTTTGATAATGATTACGAAATGCATAGAATCCGTTTCAATTATCAATCATCATTGATCTGAATTTGGGATATATGAGCGAAGGACTTTCTGATGAAATCATATATATATATATATATAATAATCTTTCATCAATGAATCTTTGCCAACAACATGATCATAGAATCATTTTAAAGTCGAATTCATTTTAATATGATTTCTATGTTCAAGTGGAAGTGGGATAAATCCAGCACCGAATTGTACCGAACTTGCATCTTGTCTTACGTCAGCTATGATACCACTTTAGGGATGAGGATTCTCTTTCTCGTCTTCATTCAGATCATTGAATTTCACACTGACAGAATAATCATCACTTGTACTTTCATTGTCGTTGACCTTCTTTGATTGAAGAGTCATCATTTTTTTCGATCCGAATGTACGACATCTTGATCGTAACCAGTTAATTCGAGTGTAAACTACATCATACTGCCGGATTAATAATTTCGATAGTTCGGATGACTCAGCTTTCATTCTTTTTGATACACATCCAAATTTCTCATGCTTTGTCGGACATTCACAACTTTTTCGTTGTAGCATAGGAATAAATTTTAAAAAATAAAAGCGCACTGATGGGCAGTCCGTATCTTCTAATACCAAATGATTCATCTCGTAATCTTATTCGTGTAAAGTCAAAACATTTGTGAATAAGACTATCTAAAGATGTCCTTAGTTAAAGAGATTACTACGATTTCGTTCTATGAGAATAGTGTCATGAAAGTTGTTGTATTTCACGAGTAGAAAAAATTGGAAGCTGTTCAATTTAATTGAAAACAATCTAAGTTGATGAAATATAGCTATTGGTATGTTCAGAGAAAATGTCTGAGCCTTGAAAACCTTCAATAGAACTGGTATGATGTTTCAAGACTTTCTTTACATATCTGACATCCGAAAACTCGGAACTTTCAATAGAGGGTGTTTTTATTTTTTTAACTAAAAGTGCTTTCTACCTGCACAGACGAAATCAGGAAAGAAATGCGTTTTTACGCGCGAGAAAGCGGACATTCTTATTCGTAAAAACGTGTTAAAATGTCGTGTAACATTTCTAGAGAAGAACCGATTTTCAATACTCGAATACCGACAGAAGAGTTTTCTCGCAAAATAAAGCTCTTTTTCCAACGTTAAAATTCACACATTGACACTTTATTACTAATGAAGATGTGCGACTTTTAACACGTAGAAACAGCGTAAAATAAGGCTTGTCTGTTTGGAGAATAGTCACTTCTTATGTTTGAATGTAAAAATAGCGCAATTCAAGTTTCAAGGTAGATTTATTGAGGAATTATGAAAAAAGGCTTCGATAAAGTTTTTAAACAGTTGGATAACTAGCCAATGTAGCAATACCACATTGGTTCTTTTTGTTACGACTCATCCAAATATAACCTTTCATACCCCATGAGGTACCCCAAGAATTTTTGACAATATAGTAATCATGTCCGTTTTTAGTACCATAGCCAACAGCTAAAACACCATGATCAAGATCTTCAGATGAGCATGATTTTTCATTGTAAACACCCGATTTATACAGTTGAAATGAGTCGGCTGAAGCATCAATAGCGACTGAAATTGGACCCACTGTGGCAATTGCATCTTGTAAATCGTCTTCACTGTATTGTTTAATATCTTTACAGCCCTATGAAAAGAAAAAACAAACAAATTATTCATATTTTAGCGAAAAGAAAAAACACTTACAGTATCTGTGGCACCAACGTTTTTAGTATTGAATCGGCATGTATCATCCTCGGCTTCATATGGATAGCTTGATTCGGTATCAATACCATTGTTTTCTTTGATGTATTTGAAGGCATTGTCCATTAAACCACCATCACATCCATAATTACCATAATCAGTTTAACAATCAACTAAATTCTGTTCAGAAAGTGAAACAAGTTGTTTTGTTTTGGCAAAGTGTTGTCCTTCGAGTGCACCAGTTGTTGAAAAAGCCCAACATGATCCACATTGACCTTGATCTTTTATTGGTGTTACGTAGCCTTCTGTACGCCAATCTGTTGAATTTAAATAAAAAACTTTATACAAATCATCAACATTTCCTCAATACATACCAACAGTATCTGGTCTTTTCAAGTTTCGTGGAGCAACATATTGATCACAAGTACCAGAAAAGCTAACATTTGAACCAACTCTAAGACCATTCATTTGTTTGACAAATTCTTTATTGGTCTATAAATATTAATGGGAACAATTGAGTAGAATTTATTGTCGAACATACCATATCACCATATTTATTCATTCCTAGTGTATAAGTATGTAAACCGAGATCAGCTTCAAGATTATGTTTTTTAATGAGAGCAACATGATCTTCCCAAATTGCTCGGCTAAAAACAAAGATAAATATTAAATGTAATGAAGAAAAAGGCTCTCTTGCCGCGTTGATTCTTCTGCATTCGATGCATAACGTTTCTGATAGGTATTCTTGAATAAGGCCCATGTTGAATCTAATGTTGCGTCAAAAGTTGGTATAGAGTACACATAGGCGAAAAGAAAGCAGACAGCAATAAAAGCTTTCATTGCAGATACTAAGTTTGTTTTAATGATGAATAACAATAAAAAGAACTGAGTTTTACATTAGTATATATACGACTGTTATTTTTTGTTTTGTCAATGTTTTTTTTAAAGATAACAAGGTACCCGAAATAATCTCTGTCACTATCAATATTCTTTTTTTTGTTAAGAAAATATGACAATGCAAAGAATAACTAACGCAGTTCTGTTTCTCATTTAGATAATAAAAATATGACTTGAAATTTTCTTTGTCATGTGCAAATGACTTGCAAAAATTTTATTTTAATAATTTCATGATTGCAAATAAAACATTTTCGAACTTATTCACGTCTCTATTACCAAAACAAATTAGCTAAAAAGCAATTTTGAACTTTATACTCCATCTTATTCGTTGGCATAATTGGAAAAGTTATGATACTTTTTGTGCGTCATGCAAAAATTTCAAGGATACCAATGGAAAAAAATGAAAAGAATAAATGTAATTCTATATAAGTGTGATTGCAAATAAGTAAGGTTCACTTATTTTTGTAGACCATTCGTTTTTGTTTCAAATTTCCAAGCTAAAACTAAATAAAAACTAAGTTAAACATTTTAGAAAGAGAACATAGAGAAGAATAACCAAAACGGTTGTATGTAGGATATGTTGGACACGGATCCGCGCACGAGTGTGTTCCAACTCTGATCACATTTGTTCCAGGTAGAACTCGGCGAACTCTAGCTATTTTAACAAAAATCTTCCGAGAAATATCCTTCCCTATCCATCAAAAATGAAAATAAATTTCAGAAAAGCGCGCGTGGATTCGTTTCTTCACTTCCAGCCCCCGTTCCAGCACTTATTCCAGATACATCACTCATGAGACTTCATATATAAAAGCTGGAGTTTGTGGGGATTCGGATGAGTTTGGGTGTGGGTGAGGTTGGGTAAAAATTTTTTATGACTGAAATCGATAAAGCTCATCGACTTTATCTACCGAGAAAAACAATGCAATCATTTTACATTAAATTAAAAAAACAATCTGCAATCAATACAATTCTACCACATATTTATGATTTTAAAAATACGATAGCATGTTTATTTCCTATAATAAATTTGACATCCTACTATTAAAAACGTTTTCCTCGCTTATTGTTACTTATAATAAAGAAAAGAGAAAAGCAAGCATTCATATTATGAACGCCTTGTTTTTTTTCAATACTACACTGACAAAAAAATAAAATCGAAATAGGATTTCCTCCATCTATCTATCTATCTGTATATATAAAGAACAAAGTTTATCTGTCTGTTTGTTCGCTATGCATTCAGTACCTGTAATAGCTATCGGCGTGAAACTTTCCACGATGCTTCCATGAGCCCAGAGAAAGGTCGACATCTACTTTTTTCCCAAAACAAATAAACGGGGCATTTGCTACAGGCAATCTACGAAACTGGCCAATAGGATTGCGAGATTTACAAAATCGAGAAAATTAATAGCGAAGGTGGCCGAAGGCCGCCTGAGCGCTCAAAGGCAACAATCCACGTGTTCTCTACGCCTATGATAGTTCGGTAAATGCTACAGATAATCTGCGAAACTCACCAATAGCGTTACAAGATCTCAAAAGATCAAGATAAATGTTGAGGGTGGGCGAATTCGAAGGATATAAGGTATAAAATGACGTGAGAGTGGGAAAGAGGTCGATGGATGAATAGCTGGAGTGGAAAACGAATATCAGAGAAAGAGGAAATTTTCATAATTTCTGAAGCAGAAATTAGCTTCGGTAACTCTTTTGCATAGAAAGATATAGCCGAAACTGCTATTTTATGCGATGCACGACAGGAAAATAAGAAGTGGAAGCGTAGAAATTTGAATTATACTGATTTTCTATCTGTTATAGCTCTTCAACACGAGATGTTCGACATAGATATTTCTTATTTCCAGCGGGTACTCCCTCTAGTTCACTATAAATCAACAACAAGATCTGAATAATTTCTACTTCGTCTGCCTCAGAAGGATCTTTCGTTATTTGCACTTCAGTAACGATTTTATTGCATTTATCTCGAATGAAAATACTTTAGAAGATAGACGCAAAAAATTATTGGGAGAAATGTTTTATAGCATTATCTGATACAACCAACGGTAAATTGATACTAGAACAAGTCAATCTGAATTATATTCGTGAGCTACGGCTCAACAGATAATTTCATATAAAAGGAGCACATCGTACAAAAAAGATTAAAAAATCACACTAGCTTACTTAGAAAATGTATTTCTTGGCGTACCAGCATCCCTGAGAATGACTCCATCATCAATTATAATATAGATGAGATTAGACTCTTGCTTCTTTTCCTGAAACCTTCTGACTTTCGCGGTTTCTCTCTTTTCTTTTTCTTACTTCGCCTCCGCTATGTGAAATTTCTTAATTGTTGAACACTGCCGTGTTATTTTTCTTCTTCTTCCTTCGTGGTCTTCTTTTCCTTCTCGTCTCAATGTATCTTTAAATCAGTACTGTGGGGACCGTATTTTGGACATGTAGTTGATGTTCAATAAAAATTTAACAAAATAAAATCTACTGATGAGTTCCTTAGGCGGGTGGAAACACGTGTCTTGGTAGCTGGTCTCACTGACACCCTCCACACGTTTTTTTACGTTTACTATAGTCCTATAGCTGAGCATGTCGTTGTTAATTCGCCTCTTACAATTCTCTCTTGCTGTGAGATAACATTCTGATGAAAAATAATAGTTCTTTCGAGATAAAACAATGATAAAGCTACGCTTGATGTGTTAGCACTTTTATTGTGCTTATCTGTTATCTACGCTCATATTCATATTCTATATAAAAAAAATTGATACTTTACTATTGACATGTATTTATCTTGAAACGAAGTACCTAGGAGATATGTATTTACTGTAATTAATCTCCTACATCTGTATACATCGGTGAAGGTAACAAGGTGAAGATTGTGTAAAGAGTGTCCGCTTTGCTATTTAGGCAAAGGAATGTAGAAGAAAGAAAAAGAGTTATCTACACCTTTTATCTTTTCATACTGTGCATTTCAATGAATGGCAATGGCGATGGTGGCTTCTATATTTTTAATTTTGCTGCTTCTTTTTAAATCATCCTTTCAATTGAATAATGGTCTGGGAAGAAGGCCTCAAATGGGTAAGATAAAAATGATTATATAAGGCTTTAGTTTAACGCATAGAATACTGAACTAATCATGTTGTGGGTGACGGTGGCGGGGGGAGGGAAAGTAAGGAAAAGATTGATAGTTTATATTTTCTCGTGATAAATATCTTAAAATTAGAAAATAAGATGTGTAATCAATAGAGCTCATCGAGCTTGACCTGGAACCAGTGTGGCTCGAGTTGGAATCGCTTCAAAAGCAAATCCGTCTGGGTTTTTCTGAAACTTCGGTATTTTCTCGACATTTCTTAGCAGTTTTAGACGTTTTTCGAAGATAAAAGAAAAAGTATTTTTCAGTTTTTTTTGAGTCGATACAACTGGTCGAGTCCTACTTGGAAGAAAATGCGCTCATAGTTGAAACACATACTCATGGGTATCGAGTTATAAGATATCCTACATGTGTGAATCGGCAGACAACAACCTCGCTCACATGCATGCCTACACCCTTATACATATAGATGATAGATATGAGCTCATTATTAAAATCATTTTATTTTAGGATGGAATAGTTGGAATCATTTTCCATGTAATATCAAGGAAACCATTTTTCGAGAAGTAACGGATAGCATTGTAGCCACAGGTTTAGCTGCTGTTGGCTATGAATATGGTCTGTTTAACATTTTTCAATCTTTTTAATTTAATAATCTTTACTATTCGATTTGTTATTAGTGAATCTGGATGATTGTTGGCAAATAAGTCGTGATGATCAAGGTACTATACAAGCTGATCCACAAGCTTTTCCTAGTGGTTTTCCAGCCTTAGCTGATTATGTTCATTCAAAAAAGCTTAAATTTGGTCTCTATTCAGGTACAATAATTATTTGTAATCATTAACATATTTTTAAATAGAGAAAATGAAAGATTTTATTGCATTACGATTACGCTTAATCTAATTTTGCCTAATTGTAGAAAAATAGTAATTCTAAAAGTAAAATTTTAAGCCTCTCATCCATTTAGATATTTCAAGCTCAAAATAGTATTACGTATTTATTAAGTTATCCTTTTATTTTATACTTTAGATGCTGGATTCGCGACTTGCGATAGTAGACCGGGTTCTTTACATTATGAAGTAAAAGATGCTAATACTTATACATCATGGAATGTAGATTATTTGAAATATGATAATTGCAATAGTGATGGAACTATGCCTATCGAAAGATATCCTGCTATGCGAGATGCATTGAATGCAACTGGAAGACCAATTTTCTACTCACTATGTGGTATGCACAGGAGCTGTGTATTGTTGCTAATTTAGATAAATGGTATTGTTTTTGTTATAGAATGGGGTATAGATGAACCAGCTCTTTGGGCAGCTAATGTTGGTAACAGTTGGCGAACGACCGAAGACATTCAAAATAATTGGCTGTCAATGTTGAATAATATCGATATTGTAATAGGGATGCATGTTTTTCTCGGTATAAAGACTTTTCCCCGTATTTTAGAATAATGAATATGCGGATAAAGCGGGACCTGGTGGTTGGAATGATCCTGATAGTTAGTGATTATATCAAGCTGCTTGATTTATTTTAATTATGCGATGTTTATAAAGTGCTTCAGGTTGGAAATGGCGGTATGACAGATGAAGAATATATGACGCATTTTGGTTTGTGGTCTATCAGCAAAGCACCTCTTCTTATCGGCTGCGACGTCCGTAATATGAGTTCAGCTACTCTATCAACCCTTTCTAACCCAGAAGTGATCGCTGTTAATCAAGATCCATTGGGTGTTCAAGGAAGAAAAGTTGCTTTTTTATCATCTCGATTACCTAATACAACAACAAATGTAGNGAGGAAATTTTCATGATTTCTGAGGCAGAAATTAGCTTCGGTAACTGTTTTGCATAAAGAGATATAGCCGAAACTGCCATTTTATGCGATGCACGGTGGGAAAAATAAGGACTGGAAGCGTAGAAATTTTAATTGTATTGATTTTCTATCTGTTATAACTCTTCAGCACGTGAGATGTTCGACATAGATATTTCTTATTTGCAGCGGGTCTCCCTCTAGTATTGATATAATGCAGCGCTCACGACCTGCGTGCTTTCCCGATTTTTTAAACATTTGTATCCTGCATATTTTCCTTCTTTTTCGACATGAGTTACTGCGACCATTGCTAATGTAATTCAGTAAACCACTGATATTCCTTTTATCAAAAACCATTTTGAAATTTTTTCAATCAACTGGCATAACAATGAAGATTGAATAAAAGAATCCCATTGAAAGCGAACAATACAATTTTTTATTAATATTCAGTAGATATCACTAATCTTTTTAAAGGAGACGTTCGTTTAACTATTATCTTTAATTCTTCGAAACAAGATTTCGCTCTTCGTATAATCAATTGTTTTATTGATATACATACTTTCACTTGTTTTTTCATGATTTATCGAAATATAATGGTTACGATCTGATCAACCTGAAACGCTTCGACCATGATTGTTGCACTTGAAATTTTTCTTTACCGCTTTATGTGAACTTGCATTTGAAAAAGCAGTTGTCTGACGCAGGGTACGAGACGTAGGCTTAAGTTCGAAGTACAAATTAGGATTCGATATTATTTGCTGGGTGTGTTGTATTGAGACCGAAAAGGACAGAAAGATAACATCACATTAATATTTTCAAAATAAAGAACAAAAAATCATCCTATTACCTGGTACATGTCTTCATGTGCATAGTAAAACAAATCCAGCAGATAAACGTTATATGATTCACTTGAAAGAAGTGAACCCACCATATCAACCTATTGAATTACTGTCGCCGTCTCTATCAGTGTTGAAACCTGCTATAAAAGAATCAGGTAAGTTGATAAATGAAATATTAAGATGGTGAAGTATATTTGTGATAAATACATATTTTTGAATCTTTTTCTTGTTACTAGAAGACACAAAGGAGTCTAACCATAACATCGTGTCAAAAATTAACATACAAGAAATTCAAATGGAATCTCCTCCTTTACAATCAAATAATCCGCCAAGTAAGTACCACATTACGAAATGAGTAGATCTCGTACATTTTGTCCGTGATGATCATTTTTGTTCTTGGAAACACAAAGATGGATATAGAAGTATAAACCAAAATATACCACTTAAATTTTCTTCCTAAGACTTGTACTTTCGATAGCTAGATCATTTTTGCAGTGAGACACAAAGTACAAAACTTAATTTATATATTTTTTTTCTCATAAATGAAGAGCTGGTTATGTTACATAGCGAATGTGTGAGCAGTGCACCGCTGACACTGTTTCTAATTGAATAACGATTAAAATTTTTCTTAAACTAAGTTACAAATAAAAAATTTTCGAACTTATTCACGTGTCTATTACCAAAGCAAATTAACTAAAGAGCAATTTTGAACTTTATACTCCATCGTATTCGTTGATATAATTGGAAAAGTTATAATACTTTTTGTGTGTCATGCAAAAATTTCAAGGATACCAATGGAAAAAATGAAAAGAATAAATGTAATTCTATATAAGTATGATTGCAAATAAGTAAGGTTCACTTATCTTTGTAGAACATTCGTTTTTGTTTCAAATTTCCAAGCTAAATCTAGATAAAAACTAAACTAAACATTTTAGAAAGAGAACAAAGAGAAGAATAACCAAAACGGTTGTATGTATGATATGTTGGACATGGATTCACACACCAGTGTGTTCCAACTCTGATCACATGTGTTCCAGGTGGAACTCGGCGAGCTCTAGCTATTTCAACAAAGATATTCCGAGAAATATCATTCCTTACCTATCAAAAATGCAAAAGAGTCTTAAAAAACATTAAAAAAATTCCAGAAAAGCACGCACGGATTCGTTTCATCACTTCGAGCTCCCGTTCCTGCACTTATTCCAGACACCACTGGGCGAGCTTTATCGACTTCAGTCAAAAAAATGCTCACCCAACCGCACCCACACTCAGACACTTACACAACACCCAAACTCATCCGAATCATACAATGAATGCAGTAAGGCCCGTGCAAATTCATGCAGATACATCACTCATGAGACTTCATACATAAAAGCTGGAGTTTGTGAGGATTCGGATGAGTTGGGGTGTTGGGTGTGGGTGAAAATTTTTTATGATTGAAATCGATAAAGCTCATCGACCTGTATCTGGAAGTGAAGAAAGGAATCTGTGCGCGCTTTTCTGAAATTTTTTGCATTTTTGATGGGTAAGGAAGGATATTTCTCGGAATATTTTTGTTGAAATAGATAGAGCTCACCGAGTTCCACCTGGAACAAATGTGATCAGAGTTAGAATACACTCGTGTGCGGATCCGTGTCCAAGATATCTCACATAACGATTGTTTCGGTACGAAAATAAATACATTCAATAATGATTGCTTTAATCAGAACAACCTTAATTGATCTTAAATAAACGTTAGTATGAACAATCATCAGGATAATAATCAACAGTTACAATAGATATCTACCGAGAAAAACAATTTAATCATTTTACATTAAATTAAAAAGACAATCTGTAATCAGTATAGTAATTCTACCACATATTTATGGTTTTAAAAACCCGACAGCATGCTTATTTCCTATAATAAATTTGACATCCTACTATTAAAAACGTTTTCCTCGCTTATTGTTACTTATAATAAAGAAAAGAGAAAAGCAAGCATTCATATTATGAACGTCTTGTTTTTTCAACACTACACTGACGAAATAAATAAAATCGAAATAGGATTTTATCTATCTATTCCCTTTTCTGAAAGAAAGGGTTATACAGCGTTCAAATGCTGTGTTAAAAAGCTTAAAGTTTGTCTGTCTGTCTAGCATCTTCCGGTCTATTTTTAAGAAGAGCCTCAGTGAAGGTTAAAAATATCGCTTCCTCTTGTCTCCAAAAGAATACTTTTAGGTACATGTTGGCTTGGTTTAGAACTTCCGTCGACATCGAATCCTCGCAAAACTCGAAAGTCACTCTTTTCAGAAAAACCCATTCGAATCAATTAGTCGAATCCTTCTCTTTTTCGTTCGTTTTTAAGCACATCACTTCACACTAATGTCTCTTTTCATTCATTGACAAAAACTTCTTTCTTCGTCGTTTTCTCTATTTATAAATCAACAAATGTGCTCATTACTTCTGTTTCCTTTTCGTGCATATCAATGTATAGCCGTATATCAGATGCAGACCTAGGAAAAGACGCTTCTGTTTTCTTCTTGACACATACTCTATCTTCTCATACGTTTCATGTTTGATTTTGTGATTCTTCGTTTTGTTTCCTCTGTCTCTTCTNTTCCAGCACTTATTCCAGACACAACTGGACGAGCTTTATCGATTTCAGTCAAAAAAATTTCCACCCAACCGCACCCACACTCAGACACTTACACAACACCCAAACTCATCCGAATCATACAATGAATGCAGTAAGGCCCGTGCAAATTCATGCAGATACATCACTCATGAGACTTCATACATAAAAGCTGGAGTTTGTGAGGATTCGGATGAGTTTGGGTGTGGGTGAAAATTTTTTATGATTGAAAGCGATAAAGCTCATCGGCCTGTATCTGGAAGTGAAGAAAGGAATCTGTGCGCGCTTTTCTGAAATTTTTTGCATTTTTGATGGGTAAGGAATGATATTTCTCGGAATATTCTTGTTGAAATAGATAGAGCTCGTCGAGTTCCACCTGGAACAAATGTGATCAGAGTTAGAATACACTCGTGTGCGGATCCGTGTCCAAGATATCTCATATAAGGATTGTTTCGGTACGCAAATAAATACATTCAATAATGATTGCTTTAATCAGAACAACCTTAATCGATCTTAAATAAACGTTAGTATGAACAATCATCAGGATAATAATCAACAGTTACAATAGATATCTACCGAGGAAAACAATTTAATCATTTTACATTAAATTAAAAAGACAATCTGTAATCAGTATAATTCTACCACATATTTATGGTTTTAAAAATCCGACAGCATGCTTATTTCCTATAATAAATTTGACATCCTACTATTAAAAACGTTTTCCTCGCTTATTGTTACTTATAGTAAAGAAAAGAGAAAAGCAAGCATTCATAGTATGAATATCTTGTTTTTTTTCAACACTACACTGACAAAATAAATAAAATCGAAATAGGATTTCATCTATCTATCTATATCTATATATAATAAAGCAACGTGTACAGGGTGTGTCAAAATTATAGAATCCTCCCCCCCCCCCACTCTTGCTGATGAAAATTTGCGTTGTATTTCCAAAAGACATCTATTTTCTTCTTCATATATATTCGTTAGATAGATGACTATATGTACTACATAAACACATGAGATATCTCGTAAATTTGGGATTTCTCGACGTTGTATTCGTCGATCTATTCGTAGATTCGACGAATTTCATTCAGTTGCTACGAGACCTGGCGCTGGTCGTCCATAAAAAACGACTACTCGTGACCGAAGATTGATCAAACTTCAGCAGCTTCGAGATGATACCTTCTCATTGAACGATCTTGTGCGATATTTTTTTTACGGATTTGAATTTATCTCTTAGCCGATCAACGATTAGTCGTATTCTACAAGATTATAACGTGGTATCGTATATTGCATCAAGAAAACCTCGAATAACTCCAGTACAACGACGAAACCGAATCTATTGGTGTCGCGAACATCAGGATTGGTCGATCGAAGATTGGTCCAATGTGATTTTTTCGGATGAAAGCAACTATGAAATACTTAGTCGGAAAAATTGGTTCTATATTTGTCGATTCCGAAATGATTTGAGTCGAATGAGTCGTTCACAACAGCGAGTTCATAAGGGTGGTGGGATATGTTTATGTATAGTACACGTAGTCATCTATCTAACGAATATATATGAAGAACAAATAGATGTCTTTTGGAAATACAACGCAAATTTTCATCAGCAAGAGTGAGGGGGGTTCTATAATTTTGACACACCCTGTATACATATATAAATGTGTGTGCTTATGTGTAGACTTGGTAGAAATAGAATACATATTATATCAATTCATAATATTAGAGTTAATTGACAACCTTGATTTTCTTTTGCTTCGTGGATTGAGTACTAATTCAGTCGATACAATTTTACATTGCTCTGCTTGTCGGATGTTCACTAAAAAACAAACAACAACAAAACAAATGGCTTTCATCAAAACGTTAGATCCACCAGACTTTGACATGATGAGAAGTTTACTGTCTTCAGCATCATCCACTATACGAACTATATCGTACCGGCTACTAAAAAGCAAATCACGTCGTCTGCAGCGTTCACCAACAGCAAATCTAATAATAATATGATGAATGCAACCGATGCTTTCAATTTATATCCATCCTTCAGGCAAACTCATATGCATAGAAGTACATTTTCCAGTTCACATTCTTTTGTATATTATTCATCGTACTCCGAACAGCGATTCGTCGTTTGAGTGCTTGCTATCGAACCCACTGTTATGCTTACACATATGAAGCAAATAAGCACGGTGAGTCAACGTGAATATAAGATAGAAAGAATCGAGACACTTTCTTTCTAGAACATGATGCATTTGCAGGTTGCTCAACCAAAGAGAAAGTAAACAATAGCAGTAATATTAAGATCCTATATGATCAGCAATCTCCCATGGTACTAAAACAAAAGCCATTAGCTATGGACGTAGTGGTCGTATTTTGAACCTGATATTTGTACTCAATACGCTCACTCACAAATACGGTCAAATCATGTACACATGACGTATAGCCACAATTCTTTTTTCTTACTCTCCGCTTTACTAAGTTCGTCACATGCGTTTGTTGTGCAAGTCGACTATATACATATCTTCCAGATAATAGCTTGCTCGCAGAACAAATATTATTTGAACTTTTCTTTTGTGACATACTACATCCAAGTTATCGAATTGCCACATTTTCCATAGTGCTCCCGTAGTGTCAAGTGCAAGACACCTTTCTGACTTTTCCACATGGAATCATAACCAGTTCTATCGATCACGAGTGCCATCATCACCATCCGGTAAAATTGTCATAGAGCTCGAATCCATACATGAATTTGTGTCTGGATAATAAATATTACATATCGCAAACTCTTCCTTCCACTGAAATCGCTGAGATTCACCAAGTTAAAATAAATGCGAACACGAATAACTTTGAAAATAGGATCTGTTTTGTTTATTCGAACGGTTGACTAAGATTCAAAAACTATTAACATAATAATAGGAAGAGATTCCTCATATAAAACAGAATACTTCAAGAATAATTGGAGTCTACGCATCCGACAGTAGAAACTGGTCCTAGGACAATCTGTCTCCATATATTACCTCGATTTGTGCTCTAGTCGATGACTTCAACGTAGATATAACCAAAGAGATTACTAAAGGGGAAATTTGATTAAACTGGACCGACAGCCACTCGCTGTCCCCATTCCTTCCCAATGCACCTACTTCTCTTCGCTCTTCTCGAACTATCGATTACGTCATTACTACTGGATTCATAGTAAATATATAAATATATGAACTAGGTACGTCTAGTAATCATAAACCCATTATTTGTAGTATCCCTGTTAATTACAACGAAAAGGTCAGTGGGAAAAATATACGTTGGAAAGTCTCTCTATGCTTTAATGCTTACGTATTCCCCTTCTCGGAAAAGCAATGGACTATAGGAGATATAGATACCATCTACAACGACTAGACTAAGTTTCTCAATCTTCTCATAGCGTGATGTACAATCCATTTCCCTTTGAATAAATATAGGATAGCTATTCCACCAGAACTTAGATGTTTCATGTCTCATACAAGAGGTGTCTTTTAAAGCGCGAAAATATGGGGGCTTAACTCTGGATGATGATGTTAAATATAGAAGAAACATAGCTAAAGCCGGAATTGAAACCTTTCCTTCTGAACGTTTTCCTAATGTAATCAAATCACGTTACAGTTCATTACATTCGATTTCTTTCTGGTCAAAAACCAAAAGATATATGAAATCTTCATCATCTTCATTACATGGACTCCTGAATTCAGACAATCAGGAAGTAACTAGAGATTCACAACTGATGTGTGAACTATAGCAGCCGACTACTACGAAAATTTATTTAAAGAACCTGAAGTATATCATCCACACCCTTATAATAATATTCCATGTAAGGCAGGTGAGGGTGTAAAGATCCCTTAGTGCAACTTTAATGAAGTATTAGAAATAGGGCATTCCTGCAAGAAAAGGAAATCTCTTACTCCGAATGGTCTTTCGAGTCATATGTTCAATTTTCTCTCGTCGGTGTACTGTTCTTTGTTGATAAAAGTTTACAATCACTCTTCTCGAATAGTTTATTTTCTGCAAAATGGAAAGATTCGCGTGTATTGCTATTAGTTAAGAAGGACCACATTTGTAGCCCAGACTCAGCACATCCTATTTCGCTCATCAATTGTCTTCGTAAAGTGGACGAAAAAATCTTTTTAAATAGGCTCAATGACATTCTTTCGAAACGTCGAATTCTACCGGGATCACAATGAGGCTTTCGCACAAAATTTCGACTTCAAACGAGAGCATTGTTATTCTTGGATCAAATTCAAAGTCTTATGTCGAATGGTTGTCCAGTAGCTCTCTATCTTTGTTGATGTTAAAAACGCCATCAACACTCTTTGGTATGATGAATGCTTAGGCAGGCTAAAAATGCTAGGTATACCTAAAAAGTACTGTTTACGGATTGATACTCGGTTGAGAAATAGACGTACATTCATCGAAATAGGTAGTAAAAGATCAAAATGGTTTCCTACCGTTAGAGATGGACTACAAGGGTCCTGTTTTTCTCCAACCCTCTCCATCATCTATCAGTTAGATATGTGTGAATACCTTGGCTCCTGCCTTAGCTCTATGTTCACTGATGATCTTGTGAGTATATAAGTAGGTTCTATTGGAATGAAATACTCGATCCATTGTCTAAATTGCGAAAGAAAACTAAAACTCTTTTTTGATGAACTCGAGTTCTATTCCATTTTTAGAGTTCAGTCGTTAAACTACGACAAGACACAAGCAATTTTTCTGCCAGGTCAGTTAGCAATCCGAAATTTAGTCTGAACTGTGGGAAACATCCCATACTATGGACGAATCAGTTCAAGTATTGAGGGTACTCAATCGCATTCTATTTTTTAGGTACATATATCACTCGTTTGTTTGGATGTTTCCAGTCTATCCTTTATTCACTATAAAGCAACAACAAGATCTGAACAATTTCTACTTTGTCTACTCTCAGAGGGATCTTTCGTTATTTGCACTTCAGTGACGATTTTATTGCATTTATTTCGAATGTAAATTCGCTAGAAGATAGATGCAAAAATTATTCGGAGAAATGTTTTATAGCATTATCTGATACCACCGACGGTAGATTGATACTAAAACAAGCTAATTTCAATTATATTCGTGAGCTATGACTCAACAGAGGATTTCCTATAAAAGGGATATATCGTACAAAAAGATTAAAAACTCACACTTGCTTGCTAGAAAAATGTATTTCTTGGTGTACCAGCATCCCTGAGAATCAGTCTATCATCAATTATCATATAGATGAGATTAGAACTCTTTTGCTGCTTTTCCTGAAATCTTGTGACTTTGCGGTTTCTCTCTTTTCTTTCTCTTACTTCACTTCCACTATGTGAAATGCCTTAATTGTTGAACATTACTGTATTCTCAAATTTTCGCTAATTCTCTATGTTATTTTTCTTCTTCTTTCTTCGTAGTCTTCTTTTCTTTCTCACCTGAATGTATCTTTAAACCAGTACTGTGGGGACCTTATTTTGGCCAAAATGTTGTTGGTGCTCGATAAAAAATTTAAAAAAGAACGAAACCAACTGATGAGACTCTTAGCTGGGTGGAAACACGTGTCTTGGTAGCTGATCTCAGCCATACCCTCACCATCCACACGTTTTTCTACGTTTACTATAGTCCTATAGCTGGACATGTCGTTGAGAATTCGCCTCTTATAATTCTCTTTTGATGTGAGATAACTTTCTGATGAAACATACTAGTTCTTTCGAGATAAAACTACGCTTTATGTGTTAGCGCTTTTATTATGCTTATCTGTTATCTACGCTTATATTCATATTCTATATAAAAAATTTTGATACTTTATTATTGACATGTATTTATCTTGAAACAAAGTACCTAGGATGTATCCATTTACTGTAATTAATCTTTTACACCAGCATGCATCGCTGAAGATAACAACATGAAGATTGTGTAAAGAGTGTCCGCTTTGCTATTTAAGCAAAGGAATGTAGAAGAAAAAAAGATTTATCTACACCTTTTATCTTTACATATTGTGCATTTCAATAAATGGCAATGACGATGGTAGCTGCTGTATTTTTATTTTTGCTGCTTCTTTTTAAATCATCCTTTCAATTGAATAATGGCCTAGGAAGAACGCCCCAAATGGGTAAGATAAAAATAATTATATAGAGCTTTAGTTTAATGCATAGAATACTAAACTAATCGGGTTATGGGTGACGACGGGGGAGGGTGTGGAGAGGCGAAGAAAAGATTGATAGTTCATATTTTCTCGTGATAAATATCTCAAAATTGAAAAATAAGATGCATAATCAATAGAGCTCATCGAGCTTGACCTGGAACCAGTGTGGCTCGAGATAGAATCGCTTCAAAAGCAAATCCGTCTGAGTTTTTCAGAAACTTCGGTATTTTCTCGGCATTTCTTAGCAATTTTAGACCTTTTTCAAGGATAAAAGAAAAAGTATTTTTCAGTTTTTTTGGAGTGGATAGAACCGGTCGAGTCCTACTTGGAAGAAGATGCGCTCATAGTTGAAACGCATACTCATGGGTATCGAGCTATAAGATATTGTACATGTGCGAATCGGTAGACAACAGCCTCGCGCACACGCATACCCACACCCTAATACATATAGATGATAGACATGAACTTATTATTAAAATCATTTTATTTTAGGATGGAATAGTTGGAACCATTTTCCATGTAATATCAAGGAAACCATTTTTCGAGAAGTAACGGATAGCATTGTAGTCACAGGTTTAGCTGCTGTGGGCTATGAATATGGTCTGTTTTATATTTTTCAATTGTTTTCATTTAATAATTTTTACTACTCGAATTGTTATTAGTGAATCTGGATGATTGTTGGCAAATAAGTCGTGATGCTCAAGGTACTATACAAGCTGATCCACAAGCTTTTCCTAGTGGTATTCCAGCCTTAGCTGATTATGTTCATTCAAAGAAACTTAAATTTGGTCTCTATTCAGGTATAATAATTATTTGTAATCATCAAAATATTTTTCAAACAGAGAAAATGAAAGATTTTAGTGCATTATGCTTTATCTAATTTGGCCTAATTGTAGAAAATAGTAATTCTAAAAGTAAAATTTTGAGTCTCTCATCTATTTAGATATTTCAAGCTCAAAATAGTATTACGTATTTATCAAGTTATCATTTAATTTTATACTTCAGATGCTGGATTCGCGACTTGCGATAGTAGACCGGGTTCTTTACATTATGAAGTAAAAGATGCTAATACTTATGCATCATGGAATGTAGATTATTTGAAATATGATAATTGCAATAGTGATGGAACTATGCCTATCGAAAGATATCCTGCTATGCGAGATGCATTAAATGCAACTGGAAGACCAATTTTCTACTCACTATGTGGTATATACAGGAGCTGTGTATTGTTGCTAATTTAGATAAATGGTATTGTTTTTGTTATAGAATGGGGTATAGACGAACCAGCTCTTTGGGCAGCTAATGTTGGTAATAGTTGGCGAACGACCGAAGACATTCAAAATAATTGGCTGTCAATGTTGAACAATATCGATATTGTAATAGGGATGCGTGTTTTTCCCAGTATAAAGATTTTTTTCGCGTATTTTAGAATAATGAATATGCGGATAAAGCGGGGCCAGGTGGTTGGAATGATCCTGATAGTTAGTGACTATATCAAACTGCTTGATTTATTTTAATTATGCGATGTTTATAAAGTGCTTCAGGTTGGAAATGGTGGTATGACAGATGAAGAATATATGACGCATTTTGGCTTGTGGTCTATCAGCAAAGCACCTCTTCTTATCGGCTGCGACGTCCGTAATATGAGTTCCGCTACTCTATCAACCCTTTCTAACCCAGAAGTGATCGCTGTTAATCAAGATCCATTGGGTGTTCAAGGAAGAAAAGTTGCTTTTTTATCATCTCGATTACCTAATACAACAACAAATGTAGTTAACACCGATTGTTCCGTAAATATTGATCCTAAACGTCGTCAATGGATTTATAACCACGAAGACGGATCAATTCGATCGTTATTTAATGGACAATGCTTATCTATTGAAAATTGTAATACTGGCCCAGGTGCGAATATTATAGTGAGCGATTGCCGTATAAATGATGCACAAGCACCATGTCAGGGTAGAAATCAACAATGGATTCTGTCGCAATATGTTGAGAATCTTGTTTCTCAACTGAATACACTATGGTAAGTTTTGACTGAAATCTGCCAACAGATTATTTGAAAAAGCACAAAATATAAAATTATTTAGTTTATCGCTATTTAATCATGTGGGTCCACATCTGGTTACAGATAGATGCGATATACAAGTAGATCAAGCATGGATATTCCATTTGTCTGATGGAACTGTCCGAAATAAATATGATGGCAAGTGTTTAACAGCAGAGGCTGAACTTGAAGTATGGGCTGGACCACTTGTTGATGGTTCACAAGCAGTACTTTTACTTAATCGAGGTAACATTGGAAGTGAACCAATAACTGTTAAATGGAGTTATATTAATTTTCCTGCTGACAAATCAGCTCTTGTTCGAGATCTGGTCAATCGAAAAGATCTTGGAACATTTACTGGTAGTTATACATCACCAAATATTACTCGTCATGAAATCATGATGTTAAAGGTTACTCCTACAGCGTAAATATAACAATTCAATCAATTTATTCGAAGAAAAAGATTGACTTTAAGCTTTTCAATTATCCTATATTTTTAGTTTTTTAAAATTATTCATTAAATCTTGGAGTAAATGTCTAATGCAACTTCGAATATAAACGGAGATGTCAAAAACAAATCTACACATAATATTCATTCTCGAGAAAGACATACTCTTAGTTCATATTCGGACACAGAAATGTCTGTATATGTGAGTTATAATTAAGAAAGACGAAAATAAGTCTATTCTTAACAATTTCTATTTTCATAAAAGAATATAGAAATGCGTCATAAAGGCATAGAACTAAAACTACACTAGCCCTACGTTCTCTTTAGTTTTTCGTTTGCATAACTTATTTTCGCAGTTATAAAAAAAAAACAGCTGAATTTTCATTTATTTTTAAGCTCGAATAGGCAGCTCATGATTCTGTATGATCACTAGTCAAGTGGTAGTATAATGATGAAAGTTCGTGAACAAGGTTTTTTCTTTTGGTGTATCTTTAGCTAGCAGCAGTAGCGTATATTATCATTCATGCATATTATTAAAACTATAATACAAGCACAAGATGTAGCGTGAAAAGCTCTACAGTTTACGAAGAACAGCTGATTTCAATTGTTTTCTAATAAAACGGATTAGATGAGGAAGAAAAGCGTTCTTCTCGGGCTTTTATTATTACAATATCAGTTAATTAGTGATCAAATAGCAGAGAAGAATTGAGCAAAGGTAACTATATCGCTCTCTAAAAATAAAGTACATCCGTCATTATTTTTGGACTGGCTTAACGAATTAAGCTCATTCAGACGGCTATTTAGACTCCAATCCTCCAAACGGTAATCAGAATCAAACCATAGACGTATCAATCACTTCTAAAATGATAAGAATGACATGTATGCCGTTACAGCGTAAAATTCGTGTATGAAAAAATGCGCCTATATACACATTATAAAGTGCATCAGCCATGAAGCCACCTCCAACATAAAAAAGACAGTTCTCGTAAGATGCATGGCCCTAGTATATCCTTTTCTGTTTCCTGTTGTTGCTTCATCAGTAGTATCTTTTTCCGATACGGAAATCATTCTCGCATCTGTTCATGTAAAAAAAAGTTAAGTTTAACAAATTGTCATATCTTGTGTTCGACCGTAGATGAGTTTCATCCATAGCATTTAAAGTCATGACAAAGCTTCTAACGTTACCATCATGTTCCGTTCGCATCATAAAACCATAAAATATTCATTCTATGTATTGTTTATCTTTCATCTCATCGTTGCGGATAGAAGATCGAGTTCAAACGGCATGGAACATAAGGAATAGATAAATTGGCATCTACGTAAATTGGGATACACTCACAATTAATAAGGATATATGAGATATAATAAGGATTTACGACAATTAATCGAACCACTTGCTTTTATGCAACACTGCTCTACTTTGGTACTGATTAAATTGCCAGATCATTTAGTAGTGCAGGAATTATGTCTTAGCTATTTCAATAAGACATAAGACTAAATTAGTGATGAGAACAGTTCGATGAATGAATTATGTGTCGTGGAATACAAGTGACAGTTTTGAATAGACATAGCATACCGTATATCCATACGAGTCAGAACCGACAGCTGAATTTAATCGGCCATCTAATACTAAGCATTCAAACTAAGACTATTCGTTTGCTTATAATCCTAATGAACCATTAAACTAATATATGCATGCGTTAATTCATATTCGAAAATTCATCGAGTCTCACATATCCCGTCCTACTACAATTACATTGAATATACCAGCACATAGTCATTTCTATCGCGTATCTTTAATTATTTGAAATGAAAATAATATTACAGAAAGGCAAAAGACGTTCATTTATTTTACTACAAAATACATCGTTACATTTCTATGCTATTGATCGCGTTGACATTTCAGTTTCCGAACAAGGATTTCTATCAAGCTGAGGATTGCTTGTCGAAATACATGTCCTCCAGTCAGTGTATAGATGTAAAATGGAATTCCAAATGAAATGAATGCGAATAGAAGAAATAGATTGAAGATAAAGTTCTCAATAGCATTCTGTGATACTGATTTTACATAACTTCGCGTTATTGTTGAGTAGAGTTTTGAAATCGCCAGTGGAAAAGTCAAGCCAAAAAGAACAAGGATCTGAACAAAGAGCATGATCAATAGGTGACGATCCATTCTCCTTTGTTGACTCTGATATTCATTAGCAGCAGATGTTGTTGTGTTTTGAGTTGGACGACTATCGATTGCTACGGGTATTGGTTGTAAACGCGCGCGCGACTGACGCACGTTCGATATGATCATCAGTCCAAATATTAGCATCAGTAACAATGGACAGAGAATAGTGATTAGAGCAAAGCATAAATCTGATACAATGGCACATATAGTCGTTTTCAAGTAGCACTTCAATGGCGTATCGGTAAGATTAGCTTCGAAACAAAGTAATTCTAGTATTCGAACAAGTAATGAGAGTATGATAATGAGCGCTGCACCACGCTGAGCATTCTTGAGAGTACTCATTCGTCGTCGATTGGCATCGACACTCGACGAAAGCCATCGATCGACTGTGGCCAACATAATGAGCCAGAATCCAGCAGTCATTGAACTGAATACTATATAGGCTCGAAATTTGCAAAGAAACTGATTTGTGCTTGTTAGATCAGTTCCCCATGTGGAAAGAAATCGTGAGATGATACCGGCAAGAATACTGATGAGAAAAGCGATAGATGACATGAGAAAAAGCCAGGTGCATGGATTTGAACGCAAAGGCCTTTGTGCGAGTACTAAGATGTTGAGAATATTTCCAGTAGTCCCAAAGAGAAAGATAAAAATGGCAAAGTAACGATTGATTTGGAAGGAAGCTTTGTTTAATAGAGCGACAAGGTCTGCATCTGATGACATTGCTTCTGTAAAATCAGTATTCTATCCTAGTTGAGAATGCAATGGAATATAAATTGTTAGAAATAGAATGTGCGTCATTCTCCCTTCAATAAGTCATTAGCAACCATAGAATTGAATTACAACTGAATACAATGAAACTAATTTAGGATACATTTCAATTGCCGTTCCAAAGAATCAAAAGATATATGAATGAGGTTTGATGAGTGGAAAGTTGTTTTTAGAGTGTTCATATCAACAAGTGACTGTTGCTATTTAAAGATTATTCTGGATTGTCAAACTAGAAATGGATGTTTCCGTCGTGTATTACATGTTGAACATGAAAGTTTAGTATTGCAGTAAACTGTTGTAAATAGAAATTTCTCCAGTAGATTGATTAAAGCGCAGACGCTCGCATTGAGAAAAAAAGGATGAAAAGATTGCAAATGTTTGCTCTTGAATTGTGAAGTATGTACGTATGGGAAGAAAAATAAGAAGAGAATAGTTTTATGCGCGCCATCGCATTTGTTGATCTTCGAAAAATTTATTCAACTGAAAGCAAATTCAATCAAAAACATGTGAATACAGCCGTTAAATTTGAAACACAACAGCAAATTCTTGTAGAATGCCAGCAGGAGCAGAGGATATAAACTGGAAGAAATTTTATACCGCCTGTCAAAACGGTGATTTAAATACAGTTCAACTATTGCTGCCAACACTAAAATCCGATCAACTGAATAAACATGGAGCTAACAAAAACACTGCTTTGCATGTTGCATCATGTCATGGGTATAGTGGAATCGTGGAGCTTCTTTTACAACATCCAGACATCGATCATACTTTGAAGGATCTTGAGGGTCGTACGCCTTTCAAAAGTGCTCTCGATGATCAGATCAAACAACTCTTTCTAAAAGTAGCAGGATGTGGTACAGAAGGTGAATATAATCGATTTATTGCAGATGACGATATTGAATGGCATGATACTTATCCAAACGCCTATCGCATTGCTAAAGACAATCATGATTTCATGGAAAAATGGTTAACAAAAATTCCATTAAAGAAACTGTTGATAGAAATTCAAGTTGGTTATCTCGATCTGATGAAAGCTGAATTATGGGAACGGATGAAGAGTGACGACGACTATGCAGATCTTGCAAAATATCTTCGCGAAGCACTCGACAAGAACAATCCACTGCCGCTTATCAAAATGTATACAGCAGACACTAACTTCTATCATATACTCAATGCAGACTTGGCCAAGCTAGGCTCCGGTTTTCGATTTACCAAATCCAATGCATTCTTAGATAAAAACTATCGGGATGATATTCCACCCAGAGGTCAAGGACAGTATTTATTTGCAGCCATTCTTATCAATCATGATATATTTCAATCGCATCATTTCACGGGAAAAGTTTATCGTGGTATGAAAATTAGTAGTCGTCACTTCTCGAAATACTCCATTGGTTCATCCATCATAACGCGTTCATTTCATTCAGCATCTAAACTCGATCACGTAGCAAGATCTTTTGCAGGTAATGCATCATCTACTCCTGGTGGAATGGCAGGACGCTTAGGAGTACTTTTTATATATCATATAAAAAATCCTCGTACGGGATTGGATATTATTGAGTGGTCAACGCTCTCTGAAGAAGAAGAAATTTTGATTGCACCTTTTTCAGCATTTAAGATAATCCAAGTAAAAAGAAATCACGGTAGTCCGAGCGAAATTGAATTCGAGGAATGCGAAGCTTAAATATAATTTTTTTCTTTTCAGATTTGTTGTATTAGTGATCGATGATGCCAGCCGAAAAATTAAAAGTATTCCGGGAAATGATCTTCGCCATTGAAAACATCTCATCCAAAGTGCGTGAACAAACAACGTTATTGAAAATATGTGCCGATTTGATTCGAATGAAAGACGAGTGGATAGATCTGTTAGAAGAAGATCGATATTGGACATTTGATATAGCTTTAATATCGAGTGACTGGTTTAGCTTATTCAAAAAGAGCTTTTACACCAGTCTAGAAAAAACGCAACAATTAATTGATGATTGCCTGAAAAGGGGTGTTCAAGCCGACGTTCTGGAAGACCTACGAAGTGAATTGACTCATTTAGTGCATCATAATACATTAATTCAAATGTGGGACCGGTTAAAACACAGCCGAATCAACTTGTATAAAGAACATCTATTGGATACAATGAGATATTTCACATTGCTCGGCGAAAGAAGAAAACAATGGATGGCGTTGAAAGGTTCGTCGAAAAGTTTACTTACGTTTTCTAATCAACATAGTAAAGTAATTGACTCATACGTAGAGAAATGCATTCGTTTACATCAATCCGTACAGGTTCAGGGACTGGTGGAGAATGTTAAGGATTTTCTTCGTCATTATACTAACTTGTCTTTGTCTTCTGCAGATCAAACTAAGCTTAGTAAAGCACTTCACTGTTTTGATGTTCCTTTGAATAATATTNTTGATGGTTCACAAGCAGTACTTTTACTTAATCGAGGTAACATTGGAAGTGAACCAATAACTGTTAAATGGAGTTATATTAATTTTCCTGCTAATAAATCAGCTCTTGTTCGAGATCTGGTCAATCGAAAAGATCTTGGAACATTTACTGGTAGTTATACATCACCAAATATTACTCGTCATGAAATCATGATGTTAAAGGTTACTCCTACAGCGTAAATAATACAATTCAATCAATTTATTCGAAAAAAAAGATTGACTTTAAGCTTTTGAATTATCCTATATTTTCAGTTTTTTTAATTATTCATTAAATCTTGGAGTAAATGTCTAATGCAACTTCGAATATAAACGGAGATGTCAAAAACAAATCTACACATAATATTCATTCACGGAAAAGATATACTCTTAGTTGCTCGTATATATTCTTAATTCTTATACGGACATAGAAATGTCTGTATATGTGAGTTATAATTAAGAAAGGCGGAAATAAGTCTATTCCTAACGCTTCCTATTTTCACAAAAGAATATAGAAATGCGACATGAAGGCATAGAACTAAAACTACATCTAGTCCTACGTTCTCTTTAGTTTTTCGTTTGTATAGCTTATTTTGGTAATTATAAAAAACAGCTTAATTTTCATTTATTTTTGAGCTCGAATAGGCAGCTCATGCTTCTGTATGATCACTATTCAAGTGGTAGTATAATGATAAATGTTCGTGAACAACGTTTTTTTTTTGGGTGTAACGTTAGCCAGTAGCAGTAGCGTATATTATCATTCATGCATTTTATTAAAACTATAATACAAGCACAAGGTGTAGCGTGAAAAGCTCTATAGTTTACGAAGAACAGTTGATTTCAATTGTTTTCTAATAAAACGCATTAGATGAGGAAGAAAAGTGTTCTTCTCAGGCCTTTATTATTACAATATCAGTTGATTAGTGATCAAATAGCAGAGAAGAATTGAGCTAGGGTAACTCTATCGCTTTCTAAAAATAAAGTACATCCGTCATTATTTTTGGACTGGCTTAAAGAATTAATTGAATATCGTATTTGACATCCCATTCACGAGATGTGTTGGATGGATGATGAACTCCACGAAAAATTAGCTGAAGCTCATTCAAACAATAATTTAGACTTCAGTCCTCCAAACGATAATCAGAATCAAACCATAGACGTATCAATCGCTTCTAAAAGGATAAGAAAGACATGTATACCGTTACAGCGTAAGATGCATGGCCCTAGTATACCCTATTCTGTTTCCTCTTGTTGTTTCATGAGCGATATATTTTTCCTACACGGAAATCATTCTCGCATTTGTTCATGTAAAAAACTTTAAGTTTAGCAAATTGTCATATCGTGTGTTCGACTGTAGATGAGTTTCATCTATAGCATTTAAAGTCATAGCAAAGCTTCTAACGTTCCCATCATGTTCCGTTCGCGTCATAAAACCATAAAATATCCATTCTATGTATTGTCTATCTTTCAACTCATCGTTGCGGATAGAAGATTGAGCTCAAACGGCATGGAACATAAGGAGTAGGTAAATTGGCATCTACGTAAATTGGGATACACTCACAATTAATAAGGATATCTCAGATGTAATAAGGATTTATGACGATTGATCGAATCACTTGCTTTTATGCAACACTGCTCTACTTTGGTGCTAATTAAATTACCAGATCACTTAGTAATGCAGGAGTGATATCTTAGCTACTTCAATAAGGCATAAGACTAAATTAGTGATGAGAACAGGTAGATGAATGAATAGAGAAAGAAATTTCAAACCCCTTGAAAAAGAAAGAAATAGACACATATCAGTCTCTAAATGGCAAGCATAACCTATTAGCACATATAGTTCCCGTAATTCTATGTCTCTACAGAGATTCTGATATGATGAATATTTTTCTCTCCGTAACTAAGTGTTCATTTTTATTATAATACATCTAGCATGACATGAAAGTTGACATGGATCGTTCAGCCATTCTATCCTGTCAGGATTCATGCGTGTTTTCTGATGACTATGCGACTTTGTTTTACGATCTACCTTTTTTCTAGAACATGTATAACTGAAGAACATGAACACACCTACAACATCAACTAAAGTTGAGCTCACTAATGACTTTTCTGTTCGAACTTTAGCTCCTTCAAGAATGCTCACATACATTGTTCTTCAATTATGTCAACTCCTCTCTTTACCTGCTTATGTGTTCGTCGGATATCATCTTCTTACGTAAGATTTTTTGGTACGAAGAGTCCCTACTAAAGTATGGTAGGTGAGCTGGATGCATGTAGATCAAATATTGTTAAATGTTGGTCAAAGCCCCAACATCTTATGATCAAAATATAGCCTGAAACACAAGCTTTCAGAATATGTAAGATAGTTAGAATTTCTCTTATTCAGCTGCAAAGATGTTGCAGCCACGAGATTTTTAAAAAATGCAAAATTTCTAACTTTTCACTCGAGAGACCTACAAATGTCACGTTGAATATACGGATACCTACTAAAGAAATTCGAACAACTGACTTTTGGGATTTTCATACCTCGATATGTTCCACAAATGTTTAAAGCTTCAAGGGATTTGGAGAAACTCAATGTAAGCGTGGTTGAGATCCCATGGATTACTCCAGAAATATTTTATGCGGAAACGACAATGTAACGATTTTTGATCGAAGAAATGTATGCACTGTTGGAAGTACGCTTATATTTATTTCTTCGTCATAAATCACATCGTTCTGATACAAGACACGCGTTTATATACTCGTCCATACAGAAGAGAACGCAAGAAAACATTATATCAAAGTACACCAGTTAGGTACGAACAATGTTGGTAGAAGTGAACTATTCAGTTATATCAATGGATGAAAAACACACCAAACGGGCCTGTATACATCTTCGTTGCGTTCAATTGAAGAAGATAAATTCAAGATTGAACAGTTTGAAAGCTGTTTTTGAACTACCAGTCCTATTCAATGCAGCTGTATTAAGGCTACAATTTTTGTGGAAAACGGCCTGCAAGAGAGTGAAAGTTTGTCCCCTGCAGTCATCCAGATGGGTACCAACAGTTTGATGAATGAATTACGTGTCGTGGAATACGAGTGACAGTTTTGAATAGACATAGAATACCGTATATCCATACGATTCAGAACCGACAGCTGAATTTAATCGGCCATCTAATACTAAGCATTCAAACTAAGACTATTCGTTTGCTTACAATCAAATGAACCATTAAACTAATATATGCATGCGTTAATTCATATTCGAAGATTCATCGAGTCTCACATATCCCGTCCTACTTCAATCACATCGAATATAACAGCACATAGTCATTTCTATCCCGTATCTTTAATTATTTGAAATCAAAATAATATTACAGGAAGGCAAAAGACGTCCATTTATTTTACTACAAAAGACATCGTTACATTTCTATGCTATTGATCACGTTGACATTTCAGTTTTCGAACAAGGATTTCTATCAAGCTGAAGAGTGCTTGTCGAAATACATGTCCTCCAGTCAGTGTATATATATAAAATGGAATTCCGAATGCAATAAATGTGAATAGAAGAAATAGATTGAAAATAAAATTCTCAATAGCATTCTGTGATACTGATTTTACATAACCTCGCGTTATTGTTGAGTAAAGTTTTGAAATCGCCAGTGGAAAAGTCAATCCAAAAAGAACAAGGACTTGAACAAAGAGCATGATCAATAGATGCCGATCCATTCTCCTTTGTTGACTCTGATGTTCATTAGCAGCAGATGTTGTTGTGTTTTGAGTTGAACGACTATTGATTGGTACAGGTATTGGTTGTAAACGCGCGCGCGACTGACGCACGTTCGATATGATCATCAATCCAAATATTAGCATCAGCAGCAATGGACAGAGAATAGTGATCAGAGCAAAGCATAAATCCGATACAATGGCACATATAGTCGTTTTCAAGTAGCACTTCAGTGGCGTATCGGTAAGATTAGCTTCGAAACAAAGTAATTCTAGTATTCGAACAAGTAATGAGAGTATGATAATGAGAGCTGCGCCACGCTGAGCATTCTTCAGAGTGCTCATTCGTCGTCGATTAGCATCGACACTCGACGAAAGCCATCGATCGACTGTGGCCAACATGATGAGCCAGAATCCAGTAGTCATTGAACTGAATACTATATAGGCTCGAAATTTGCAAAGGAACTGATTAGTGCTTGTTAGATCAGCTCCCCATGTGGAAAGAAATCGTGAGATGATACCGGCAAGAATACTGATGAGAAAAGCGATAGATGACATGAGAAAAAGCCAGGTGCATGGATTTGAACGCAAAGGCCTTTGTGCGAGCACTAAAATGTTGAGAATATTTCCAGTAGTTCCAAAGAGAAAGATAAAAATGGCAAAGTAACGATTGATTTGGAAGGAAGCTTTGTTTAATAGAGCGACAAGATCTGCGTCTGATGACATTGCTTCTGTAAAATCAGTATTCTATCCTAGTTGAGAATGTAATGAAATATAAATTGTTAGAAATAGAATGTGCGCTATTCTCCCTTCGATAAGTCATTAGCAACTATAGAATTGAATTACAACTGAATACAATGAAACTAATTTGTGATACATTTCAATTGCCGTTTCAAAGAATCAAAAGATATATGAATGAGCTTTGATGAGTGGAAAGTTGTTTTTAGAGTGTTCATATCAACAAAAGTGACTGTTGCTATTTAAAATATTATTCTGGATTGTCAAACTAGAAATGGATGTTTTCGTCGTGTATTACATGTTGAACATGAAAGTTTAGTATTACAGTAAACTGTTGTAAATAGAAATTTCTCCAGTAGATTGATTAAAGCGCAGACGCTCGCATTGAGAAAAAAGGATGAAAAGATTGCAAATGTTTGCTCTTGAATTGTGAAGTATGTACGTATGGGAAGAAAAATAAGAAGAGAATAGTTTTATGCGCACCATCGCATTTGTTGATCTTCGAAAAATATATTCAACTGAAAGCAAATTCAATCAAAAACATGTGAATACAGCCGTTAAATTTGAAGAACAACAGCAAATTCTTGTAGAATGTCAGCAGGAGCAGGGGATATAAACTGGAAGAAATTTTATACCGCGTGCCAAAACGGTGATTTAAATACAGTTCAACTATTGCTGCCAACACTAAACTCCGATCAACTGAATAAACATGGAGCTAACAAAAGCACTGCTTTGCATGTTGCATCATGTCATGGGTATAGTGGAATCGTGGAACTTCTTTTACAACATCCAGACATCGATCATACTTTGAAGGATCTTGAGGGTCGTACGCCTTTCAAAAGTGCTCTCGATGATCAGATCAAACAACTCTTTCTAAAAGTAGCAAAATGTGGTACAGAAGATGACTATAATCGATTTATTGCAAAGGTCGATATTGAATGGCATGATACTTATCCAAACGCCTATCGCATTGCTAAAGACAATCATGATTTCATGGAAAAATGGTTAACAAAAATTCCATTAAAGAAACTGTTGACAGAAATTCAAGTTGGTTATCTCGATCCGATGAAAGCTGAATTGTGGGAACTAATGAAGAGTGACGACCACTATGCAGATCTTGCAAAATATCTTCGCGAAGCACTCGACAAGAACAATCCACTGCCGCTCATCAAAATGTATACAGTAGAGACGAACTTCTATCGTATACTCAATGCAGATTTAGCTAAGCTAGGCTCTGATTTTCGATTTACCAAATCCAATGCATTCTTAGATAAAAACTATCGGGATGATATTCCACCCAAAGGTCAAGGACAGTATTTACTTGCAGCCATTCTTATCAATCATGATATATTTCAATCGCATCATTTCACAGGAAAAGCTTATCGTGGTATGAAAATTAGTAGTCGTCAGTTCTCGAAATACTCCATTGGTTCATCCATCATAACGCGTTCATTTCATTCAACATCCAAAGATTATAATACAGCTAGAGATTTCGCAAAACGCGTATCATCTACTCCTGGTGGAATGGCAGGACGCTTACAAGTACTTTTTATATATCATATAAAAAATCCTCGTACGGGATTGGATATTATTGAATGGTCAAAGCACCCTGATGAAGAAGAAATTTTGATTGCACCTTTTTCAGCATTTAAGATAATCGGAGTAAAAAGAAATCACGGTAGTCCGAGCGAAATTGAATTCGAGGAATGCGAAGCTTAAATATAATTTTTTTTTCTTTTTCTTTTTCAGATTTGTTGTATTGGTGATTGACGATGCCGGCCGAAAAATTAAAAGTATTCCAGGAAATGATCTTCTCCATTGAAAACATCTTATCCAAAGTGCGTGAACAAACAACGTTATTGAAAATATGTGCCGATTTGATTCGAATGAAAGACGAGTGGACAGATCTGTTAGAAGAAGATCGATATTGGACATTCGATATAGCTTTAATATCGAGTGACTGGTTTAGCTTATTCAAAAAGAGCTTTTACACCAGTCTGGAAAAAACGCAACAATTAATTGATGGCTGCCTGAAAAGGAGTGTTCAAGCCGACGTTCTGGAAGACCTACGAAATGAATTGACTCATTTAGTGCATCATAATACATTAATTCAAATGTGGGACCGGTTAAAACACAGCCGAATCAACTTGTATAAAAAACATCTACTGGATACAATGAGATATTTCACATTGCTCGACGAAAGAAGAAAACGATGGATGGCGCCGAAAGGTTCGTCGAAATGTATACTTACGTTTTCTAATCAACATAGTAACGCAATTGACTCATACGTAGAGAAATGCATTCGTTTACATCAATCCGTACAGGTTCAGGGATTGGTGGAGAATGTTAAGGATTTTCTTCGTCATTATACTAACTTGTCTTTGTCTTCTGCAGATCAAACTAAGCTTAGTAAAGCACTTCACTGTTTTGATGTTCCTTTGAATAATATTTATATCAATTTACTCGCTGACAGAGCCCCTATTATTGAGAGAAAAGTTTCTCAGGATTTATATTTTCAAAGTCGAATAGTCGATGACTCTGAAATGTATCGAAAACTAGAAAAACATTCGTTGATATCATCCCTAATCCAAAGAGATCAGATAGAAAATATCAATTTCGATGATTGTATTCAAGCTTTTCAAACGGAGCGATGGCTCATCATATTAGGCGATCCGGGAAGTGGGAAAACATCGTTTGTACGCTGGTTAGCATGCCAATATGCGAAGGCAGTCAGAAATAGAAAGACATATATCGAAGGATTAGGCCTCACTCGTATGCCAATTTTAATTCATATCGGCGAATTTGCAGAGTACCTTGAGAAACATGAATCTGCAGAATTATTCGACTATATTGGTTATCAAACATGGATGAAAACTGAAGTATTCTCATCGTCGCAATCAGGATCCACTACTAACGCATTGCAGGAGTACGTTATTCAAGGGAAAGCACTAGTGATATTAGATGGTCTAGATGAGATTCCGAAATGCAACGTGCGACGTAAAGTTATTTACTTAGTAAAAAAGTTTATCGATAGCTATGTCCTAACACCGTCTGGTGTCTCGCCATTTGACGATTCATTCGTTGTTGAAAGTTGTAAACTGACTCCTACGAAAACTCCGCCATCGGAAACTACTGGTAATCAATTAGTTATGACCAGTCGCATCATCGGTTATTACGCTGAACCACTAGCCGGAGACTATATAAATCCGTATATGATCATGCCGATGTCTACCGATCAACAAAATGCGTTTATCGATCGGTGGTATGCAAACGTAGATACAGCAATTATAGAAATTTTATCTTTAAGTTCAGAGAACTTGAAACGCACTCCCATTAAGACTACTATTAGAGAGACCGCAGGACAACTCAAAACCGAAATCAAACAAAATTCTAGTTTGGCACAACTAGCATCTAATATATTCTTAGTTTCCATCATTTGTTCGCAATCATTTCGAACCTACGGAAGAGCTTTACCCATATCAAGAGCTCATTTGTATCATGATACTATAGCCACGATGTTAAATGAATGGGAAATGAGAAGCTCGATTCCGTCAAAGATGCTTGAGAGATTTCTCACTGTTATAGCCACTCATATTCATGACAATTCATCCTCTGGCCTAATTGATGAATACTTTCTAAAGCGCTATTGTGACCGAGAGGTTAGTGACTCTAAAGACGCGCAAATTCACGAGGAAACAGTTTNCTTACGTTTTCTAATCAACATAGTAAAGTAATTGACTCATACGTAGAGAAATGCATTCGTTTACATCAATCCGTACAGGTTCAGGGACTGGTGGAGAATGTTAAGGATTTTCTTCGTCATTATACTAACTTGTCTTTGTCTTCTGCAGATCAAACTAAGCTTAGTAAAGCACTTCACTGTTTTGATGTTCCTTTGAATAATATTTATATCAATTTACTCGCCGACAGAGCTCCTATTATTGAGAGAAAAGTTTCTCAAGATTTATATTTTCAAAGCCGAATAATCGATGACTCTGAAATGTATCGAAAACTAGAAAAACATTCGTTGATATCATACCTAATCCAAAGAGATCAGATAGAAAATATCAATTTCGATGATTGTGTTCAAGCTTTTCAAACGGAACGATGGCTCATCATATTAGGCGATCCAGGAAGTGGGAAAACATCATTTGTACGATGGTTAACATGCCAGTATGCGAAGGCAGTCAAAAATAGAAAGACATACGTCGAAGGATTAGGGCCTACTCGTATGCCAATTTTAATTCGCATCGGAGAATTTGCAGAGTACCTTGAGAAACACGAACCTACAGAGTTATTTGATTACATTGGCTGTCAAACATGGATGAGAACTGAAGCATTCTCGTCTTCGCAATTAGGTTCCGATACTAATGCATTGCAGGAGTATGTTATTCAAGGGAAAGCACTAGTGATATTAGATGGCCTAGATGAGATTCCGAAATGCAACGTGCGACGTAAAGTTATTCACTTAGTAAAAACGTTTATCGATAGCTATGTCCGAACACCGTCTGGCGTCTCGCCATTCGACGATTCATTCTTTGTTGAAAGTTGTAAACTGACTCCTACGAAAACTCCGCCATCGGAAACTACTGGTAATCAATTAGTTATGACCAGTCGTATCATCGGCTATTACACTGAACCACTAGCTGGAGACTATATAAATCCGTATATGGTCATGCCGATGTCTACGGATCAACAAAATGCGTTTATCGATCGGTGGTATGCAAACGTAGATACAGCAGTTATAGAAATATTATCTTTGAATTCGAAGAATTCGAAACGCGCTCGCATTAAGACTACTATTAGAGAGACCGCAGAACAACTCAAAACCGAAATCAAACAAAATTCTAGTTTGGCACAATTAGCATCTAATATATTCTTAGTTTCCATCATTTGTTCGCGATCGTTTCGAACCTACGGAAGAGCTTTACCCATATCAAGAGCTCATTTGTATCATGATACTATAGCCACGATGTTAAATGAATGGGAAATGAGAAGTTCGATTTCGTCAAAGATGCTTGAGAGATTTCTCACTGTGATAGCCACTCATATTCATGACAATTCATCCTCTGGCCTAATTGATGAATACTTTCTAAAGCGCTATTGTGACCGAGAGGTTAGTGACTCTAAAGACGCGCAAATTCACGAGGAAACAGTTTNAAGAGCTCATTTGTATCATGATACTATAGCCACGATGTTAAATGAATGGGAAATGAGAAGCTCGATTCCGTCAAAGATGCTTGAGAGATTTCTCACTGTTATAGCCACTCATATTCATGACAATTCATCCTCTGGCCTAATTGATGAATACTTTCTAAAGCGCTATTGTGACCGAGAGGTTAGTGACTCTAAAGACGCGCAAATTCACGAGGAAACAGTTTCTAATTTTATCAAATTGCTCAACGACGAGACAGGTGTATTGATCGCTAGAGGAGAAAAAGTCTACGGTTTTTCTCATTTGACATTTCAAGAGTATTTTGTATGTTTAAACATAATCAAATCTGATTGTGTAGGAAGTCGTATCGACGACGATGAGTTGTATGAAATAGTTCATAGATTTCTTTCACTTGGAAATCAGTCGCGTTATCGAGAACCTTTACTACTAGGATTAGGATATATCAGCTGGAAATGGAATTTGAATGGTCAATACGATCACTTTTGTACCGAATTGATCTTTAATGATGAGAAGAGTGTGAGCAAACATATTCCTTTAGGAGCCTTGCTACTAATATCAGCAATTGATGATCTCGAATGTCTACCGTCGAAACTGGTAGTTTTTGACGCGTTCGCACAGCTTTTGACAGCTGCGGGTAAATATAATTGGCAAATAAGTTATCCTCAATTCGAAGATCAGGTTGTGAAAGATCTGCGTAAATTAGAACCATCTTTAGCTTCTGAGTGTGTTCAACACTATTTAACAAATACGAAAACAATTCATATAGAAAGTTTAAGAGTAATCGGTTCTATTTTCTTGAATGAAGTACGTTCAGATCGAAAGAATTCATGGTTGAACAAAGGTATTGTGGAACTATACGAAAGATACATAGATCTCGATGACGCTTCGAATGGATTTCCTATCGATTCCACTCTACATATGCTTGCCACATTGGACCCCACGTTGTTAGACGTATCATCGCATAGCTTGAAGCAGTATTTTCTGAAAAAACGAGACAAATCGATTGGAACAAATATTCATCCACTAATTTTCGCCTTGATCATCGTGCTGTATGGAGGTATTCATAACCCTGAGCAGAATTCCAAAACAAACATCGGTTTTGACCCACGTCGTATGCATCGAAATTCGCCTCTGTCTTCTTGTTTGATCGAGTACTTCACGAAGAATCCGACAAAATGGCATCAAAGCGAGTATCAGTCGATTATCAAACACTGTCAGGAGATTATCCAAGAGTCGAATAAAAAAGATTTGTCTCTTGAGGTCGTGGATAGTTTCATTGCTTTGTTAATTCTATACGGGTCGGAGTTTTTTTCCTCGCATGATGTTTACTTATCGTATTCAGCGTTTGACGTAGCTTTGAATAGACTAAAGAGAAGTTTGATTCAAATACAAGCGTGTACGTTCTGCCCGGAAAAAATTAAAAACTTTGGAAAAGTTCTCATCGAAGACTTCTTCGAGAAGTCTGGTCTCGATTCATTCAATCCGCCTGCCATTCGATCGGACTACAAACAAAACATCATGGAAGCGTTCAAATTTATCAATGCAATTGCAGGAACACTCTGTCGTCTGGCTGCCAATGGAAATATACTGAGATTTTCACTACCCCCTTCGATTGGGAAAAAGAATTTCGTGAATGGAATAAACAATCTATCAGTAAATATAACGAAGGGCGGAACAACATCATTTCTGTTGACTGAGTATCTGCGTTTACACAACTCAATGATAACGTATCCGAGTGCTAGCACGGATCTGGATGGTACTGCTGCGGTCGATATGGTAAAATTTCGGAATAAAACACATCCGATTTTCGTCACTCGCGATAACTTTGAAGTGCTGCTAGCTTTCATTCCGAGACATTTACAAAATTTGTTCCTGCAGATCATTCTATGTCATCGATCATTTCAGGATGAGAATATTCCAGAAATTTATCGAAAAACTGAGTTACATCTTTTGACGGAAATGATCAAGACTATGAAGTTTCCTGAAGCGAATGGAAACTATCAATGTCTATTGATAGCCTTATTTCTACCGAAATTGCGTCAGTGGGGAATTGAATCTTATGCGCTCGCTTACATATGGAAACATGAAAATGCTAGTAAGAATATGAACAAAATGCGTAAGAACTTCTATGAATTCTGTAAGAAATTAAATGAGAGAGAAGATCGAAAGAAAGTGTACCTATCCGGTGAACGAAATGAAATTTCCGCAGCGATTCAGGAACAACGCATTCGTGCGAAAGAAGCTATCGCGGAACTTAAACGAGGAAATGTTTCAGATGAGCTCAACCTAGAACTATACTGCGCGGCTATTTCCCTAGGACACTTGTCTGCCTGTGAAACAGAGGTATCGAGCACAGAACTTTTTAACGAAGCAAAACTAGCAGTCGAAGCAATGACTGATCCAGTGTTGAAGATTCGCGCTATGAGTGTCATACTTCAAGTTACTGATCATCAAGTTGTCTTTGAACAACGAATAGATGCGCGCAAGTCATTAGAGAAAATAGTGACCGATATGAAGGGAAAAATACCTGTTTTACCTTATGCTTTTGTTATTATCGATTGTCTTCCATTCTTACAATCGGATACATTAAAAGATCAATTGATTACAACTATATTTACCAACATGAAGAAACTAAACGAAAATGATGTGAATAATGTTGAGAATACTTGGCTGGCTATATGTGAAGCGATATGCTCTCTGAAAGATAGCTACCCATCAATCTACATATATCTGCGTAAATTCTGTGAAGAACATCAGTGGTCCAGTATTGACAATCTAATCAAATTTTTACGCTTATCTTCGATTCCTATGAAAAAGTTTCTATCGCAAAAGTATAAGAATGATACGTACGATTTAAATCGTTCAACACTACGCGCATGCGCTCTTCTATGCGGAATTACTGTTGATATAAATCATTTAACCAATTGGATAGGCTCGCAGATGCTCCAGAAACTTGATCAAATACAAATGTCAAATCCGGACAGTACATTCCTGAGAATAACAAAAAATCTTTCAACTTTCAAAACAAACAATGATAAAGTACAAAAAATCTGCAACGAATTAAGCGAATATGCAAATATTGCTTTTTGCTCGAGCGAGTTAGTTATCGAATGGCTATCTTATGCCAAATATTCTCCATTGGGACCATTGTTGGAACACGCATCATTGCTACTATCGGCTTCATCATTTTTCACCGTGCCTTACGTAGATATTGTGTGTCATTTGTTACTCAGCGATAACGATCGATTTCGTCAACGTGCTGAGCTAATCTTAAGTCGAGAGAGTCGAAAAAGTTCTCAACTAGGCTGGGATGTGCTTAAAGCTTTCATTAATAACTGCGTTTACTATCGCTGTCAAAATGCGTATGTCAGCGTGATTTTGCTGTGGATGTTTGAAGAGGTAGAAATCAATGATCG